TTTTTGTGTGTGTGTCGCTTTCCGGCTGTTGGCTTTGATGGTGTACGAAACCCCGAATAACTAACTACCCGTCGTTTTATTATTTTTTCGCGGAGTTGTCATTTTGTTTTTTTAAATCATCGAGAACTATACTGTATAGAGATTATAGACGACCTACATACGAATATATATGGAACTGATAGTATTCGAGACACTATTTTCTTCCTCATAGCGCGCTTGTGGAACTTCGCTTTGAACTTCCTTTTAAAAATGTATTCGTAAAGTTAATCATGAAACTGAAAGAAACATACAGATGATAAGAAAATGGGCTCAATATTTTTTCACTCGTGTCTCAAATGCCTCAAACATGTTTTTCCATGGGAAGAAAAAACTTTATGCTGTAATACAATTTTGTCCTTAATTGAGCGCAATTATTGTAAATCTTCATCTGGAGTTTATTTTTAAAAGCGAATTTTCAAAGTTGATGATAAAAGTGAAGAATGAACACTATCATAAAATACGCGTGCCGCATTTTTTAAAATTTTTATTCGGGTCTCATTTGCTTCAAAAAAGTGGTTTTTAGTCATGTGCAACGTAAAAGCTTGACTATAATCATGTTTTTTGGGCGCGCTTGTGCATTTTTGCTTTAACTTCCTTTTTAAATATATTTGTGAAGCCAATCAAAAAAATTCAAAAGAAAAAGTAGGATAAAATACATTCAATATACTGTAATTTTCTCTCGGGATACGGAAATCAAGTCGTGCCCCTTAGCTGAGTCAAAAAAAATTTGAGCGAAATTTGAGAAAGGTTACATGTTTAAAATCTATGAAGCCTTCGAAATTGGCTTTTTTTTAATTAAGCTCTGAGCCAGTATGTCAGGAACTTACTTATGATCTCAGTTCTGAGGATAAAAGGCATGTGAAGCATATGTTTTTTAATCGCTCAAAATTTATAATTGGTAATAAGTAAAAATGGTTAAAACGGCACTGGGTATTCTTTTCACAGAAAATTTGTTTCAGAAGTCGTCTCTCGATTGACAACAACAGAGTGTCTGCTTCATCAACTTCTTTGTCCCTTCGTGAAGAGGAAATTGGGTTTTTCTTGACAAAAACTGCCGCCAGGGTATATGTGTGTCAAAATTGTACGGCATATTTTCTTGGTTTACTGTCACTTGTCTACTTGCTGTAAGCACCCTGCAATAATGATGACGTTTCTTCCGATTTCCTGAGATCTGGAAAATTTCACAGGCTTGCCAGCTATTGAAATATTCTTTCTTTGTGAACAGGCCTATACAACATTATATACCTGGTTCAAAATCTATGTAATGAGCATGCATGGTTCAATATGGCATAACGCGGATAATTTTTTTTTTTTTTTGCCCTCCCAATTATAATTGTTCCGGTATTTTTTTAATGACAAGGAGCTTCCTCTACCAAGCTTTGGCGAATCAGTACCTTCATGCGCGTAGAAATGTTTTACAATTCGACGAACAGATGTCGCTTAATACATCTTTCAACGTTCTGTTGAGATTCGGAAATAACTGTTCTTCTATGTCGGAAAATCGACATGCATTCCATCAGCAGGATCAAATAGACGACAGCACATTAAAATATGCAATTTCATCAAGACGTTCTGTTTTATGTCATTACGTGACCTTCTCATGAGATACTGATGAAAGTTCTCAGCTCCTATAATCAGCCGTTCGATCGTCTCACAGCAATAGCGCGTAGCAATCTCTCTGCTGATACGTACTGTACAAGACGCGTTGACTCATGATGAAGAAGTATCTGCAAGATGAAGCTCGTCTCCCGACGAAGTCTCTGTGGCTGGTGCAGTGACGAAGTATCAGACCATAACCTGAAAATTAATGTGACAGGGACACAGGCTTCCACCTTGCCTTGTGTAAATACGTGCATCTTCGCATTCAATTCTCACTCAAGCGCTATAGTTCAAATGAATCTCTGGCCGCTCCTCTTTCCCCCCGCGGTTCACCAGACCTCCGAACGAGACGAGATTCCGCCTTTTCCATTCAAGTGCCAGGTGTAAAAGACTGGAAAAATTAATAAAAAGCTGAAGTATTTCTGAGCGCTTGGGGAGAGAGAACTTACAGACTGAGACTATATACACGCCCGGACTAGAGACACAGCAGAAAGCCGGCTCTGTCCTACTGCTACACACCATCGGATCCTCACTTCATTCCTGTCCTGTTCACCTTCCCACGGGAAGTTCAATGTGTTCAGCTGGGTTATACGTGGACTTGCGTCCGTACAGTGTTGAGGCGGTGGTCCTGTCGTCGTGTCGGACTTGGCTGATTAGTTCTCCCGGAAAACTGCGTGGTACAGCTAGTATGTGCACAGTAACCTGAACAGTATAAACAATTTCAACTGTAAGCCATGATCTAAGACTGCTGAAAACTTGCGATGATTTTGAATGTGTATAGATTCAAATACAGTTCGTGACGAAAAGTAATAATGCAAGGATTCCGAGGCAAGTGAGTGAAATAGTCGGAGGATGTTCGCATGCTCTGTCCCTCAAATCAGTCCGTGACTCCGTATACACGCGCCGCGATTGCTACGATTTTCCGTCGGTGCCTCATACAGTATATTTAAGATCTCGTAATTCTAAAGAATCCGAAGTTCGAGTCACGTCACGCGCAGAATAAGCTGACCGTCGACGAGTGGCGCATTTCTTTCGGTGCAGTGCGGTTTTTCCTCTTTAAATTCAAAAATCCGTTTGCATCTTATAAGTAACGGACGTTTTGAAGATTCATGCGTGTTTGGCGCTGCGTAGAGTACAGTATAATATAATTGCTTTTTTAATTTTAAAAATGCATAAGTTAAAGCCTCACTTGATTCATGTTATTTAATTATTGAGTTTAAAATTAAAAAGTCTACTTGAAGAACGGCCGGACCGGAGGTTCATACAATATTATGTTCCCTTGCGCATGAAACGAGTCAACGTCGATCAAATTGAGTCAGCGTTTCCGACGAATAAAATACTCAGTACATGCAGTGTTGCACTCGTTGGCGGTATATCTTGTGCATTCTAGTTACGAAATCTGTGCAGATGAATCCGGAATGAGTCATTTACTTAGCGGCGGGGGTTTGTGACGTGGCAGCTCATTCTATTTCATCAGCGCGAGTGCGCGACTGATTCGGCATCATGACGGACAAACGCGTCATATTACCGCAGGCGCAGGTGAACGTGTGAAGATTTCCGCCTGTCAGTTTATCAACTCAGTTCGGCCCTTCGGTGTTAGCAGATACGACCAAGTTGAAGTTGATTTTTGAAAATTAAGTGTTCCGTGATATGGCATGATGAATTCCGGAAGTCGCTTGCGTACAGTAATTCCAGAGAAGTTATGGATTCATCTAGATTTTTTTTTTCCGTATCAGACGGTTACGCCGTTCTTATTGAAATTTCCCTGTGCCCCAAAAGACCTACCTCAAATCAGGCTAAGAATCTAACCTCAATCTCGCTTGGAAGTTGTCATATACAGCACATATTCTCATATCATATTGTATTCATCGACGTTTGTCAATGTATACAAGCAGAAGCTCTGATGCAATACCGTAATCGTTCAAAATATGGACGTTCGCAAAAGTACCTTTCCATTTAATGTGAGCATTCAGATAGCTAACATTTTGAATAAACACATGGTTTTGGTGATGAGAAGAGTACATTTTCGGTACTCTTCGCATTCTTCGAATTCCGTCCCTCGGTGCGAGTTGGCAGACTTCCCATCGGTGGTGCACGTGGGCGTCGGTGTGAAGTGCGAATGCTATTTCCAGTACCTGCAGAATTGATTGAACCGTAACAAGAAAATGTGAACGGCTCTGCGCTCCACAATGGATCGAGAGCTACGGTATTCGATCGTGATCCCTCGCGAAATTCTATTCTTCATCACCTGCTGGTGCAATCGATTTGTGCTACACTGCCCTGTCGTCAACATCACGCGAATATGTGATTTTAAGGAAGAACATGATCGAAGTGGTGAAGAATTATGTTGGTTTCCATGCAGTGCTGTACTACTGTATACTGTATACCGATATGGGCAAGAGGCACTGGAATGTTCCATATAACATTACCCAACTATTAATCACTGCTGCTTCCATCAGCAATCTTCGTTGGTAATCGCTAATATTTCACTGATTTTATTCAGCAAACGCAGAAACCATATAATCAGTCGATTCAAGTACTGCACTCTATTATTACAATAATGGTGAAATGCAAGAAGTAAAATCTTCGGCGAAAAAAATATATTGTTCTCGTGGTTTCCCTTCAGGTTTTTTAAAATGATTTTTCGGATCGAGAAAGAGTATTATTCAATAATTATAGTTCAGAAGCAAATACAGTACAGTATAAAGCACACGAAGACTGGTCATCGTAGCTCTTGAAGTATTTCATTGATTTTGATGATACTCCTATACAGTGCAGTCAATGATTTGTCTGTACCAGCGATTTTACCAAATCTTCAATATATGGAGCAGCTGCTGTTTTTTTTTTTTTTTTGTATCAGCATACATCTCAATTTTCGAAAAATTACCCAGAACATTCTACTCAAAAAGCGTTGAGAGAGCATGGTCGCTTTAAAAAAATCTCCTGCTTAGACATAAATAAAATAGTGTAATCAATGATTTGCGATTGACGAAATGGAAACCTTGTCAGATATCACAATCACATGAAGCTTGCTTATATGAAGACCAAATTTTATTTACTGTACAGTTCATACTTACGGATTGATTCTATCAATAAGTCTCCAGTCTTAAAAGAAGACAAACGTCATTCTGAAGTTGTGGATTACAAGATTTCGTTATTTATCAAATTTTTGAGAACGTCGGGAATCGAGACAAGTTGAAAATAGCACCCGAAGAATTAATAATGAATTTTTCGAGCAAGTTCTGCGTAAAAGGGCGTGAATCAATAACCACAAGTGAGACAACTTTCATGAAAATCCCGCGGTGGTGTATCTGTTCATAACCTGTGTTCGTGATACTGTATACCGTATACGTACATTTTTCGTGATTTCTTCTTGTACAGAGAAGAGAGAATTGTCTTGTATAACCACGGAAGAAGCCGCGCGAACGAAGCTCAAGCGTGCGTTTCGTGATCCTTTCATTTTGAGAAGAATGTCGCAATTCAAGAAACTCGAGTGGGTTGACGGGGTTGAGGGTGCAGTTCCAGACGGAGCCGTGGTGGGTGGCGATGACAACGGCGAACCCTTGTACGTCGCCAGGGCGGAGCACAATGGAGAAATGCTTCCTGGGAAAGTGTTGCCCAGGCACGGGGTTTGCTACATTTCTTGGGGCGGGGAGGAGATTCCCAAGCACAGCTACCAGGTGCTGACGAACCCCTGTGGCTGCTCTTTGGTTTGGGTGAGTAATTTTTCCTCGTCTGTTGGGTCAAAATGTTGATCGATTTCGTAAGCTGTGCTGAAGCGTTTCTTCCTCAGCCACGTAGATGTCACTTGCATCTCAAAGCCCGATATCCCGATTCTTCGAATGAAGCTTCCCCAACAAATTTCCCTCATTCCGACAACACGAAGAATTAATTGTCGGAGTAGTCCCATTATTTAAGCGCGAAGACTATTCCATTTCGGATTTGTGTTGATTTTACTAGCGAAATATTCAATTTATATAAATGTGTAGCCGTCATTATCGCCGTTGAACCATGACTGCTGCGACAGGCGTGATTTCAATGGAATGTACAGTAATTACATAGGACCAGCGGATTTGATTAATCACACAAAATTACACTTCACAGACAAAAGCTGAAGGAGGAGATTTCCCAACTGGAGCTGTGATGGGAGGCAGAGCTGGTGATGGTGAAGCACTTTTTGTTGGACGTGCAGAACACGAGGGCTCAGTTTGTCTTGGCAAGATTCATCCCTCGAATGAAGTGCTCTATTTGCCGTATGGAGGAGCTGAAGTACCGAAGAGGGAATACGAAGTACTCGCTGTGCGTTGTTTGGAACTGGATTAAGGCGGAAGAATCTCTGTGAACTTTACTTCCGTGTCGTCATCCCGCAGCATCAAAGCTTGCACTAATTGCTGCCTCATTTTAACTGGGGAATCTAAATCTGATTTATTCGCTTACATTGAAAACATAAAACCAATGCGTGAAATTTATCTGCTGAATTTTATTACGAACGGGAAACAACAAATGGGAAACTTGAAAAATTTAAAAATACATGTAAGAGTGAGCACAAAATAAAAAAAATCTTGAAAACTTTCAATCAGGCGTATCGAGAAGAACATCTGTTTGTCAGACAGGAATTTTTCACTCCATCTATCCAGTGTTGATGAAGCAGTGCACAACACAACCTGCAAAAACAACTTCTTTCAGACAAATTCATTCACGTAAGACCTTTTCGGGCAACCGCTTCAATTTGTTCTAATGTTCAATATCCAACTGCAATAACATACAAGAGCTGAACATTTTGCGCATTTATGCGTTGAGATAACCACGATCAAATCTTGGATATGATTACCAAATTCACAAACAAATTTGACTGGGCCAAATATAATATATGGTAAACGCATGGATTAAAATCCATGACGTCAATTTATCTACCGTATTACAGGTGGAATCTCTCTAGAACGAAATTCAAGGGACCAGAAAAAAGTTTGTTGGAGAGGACCCCAATAACATACATACGGCGAACCCTATGAAACCACAAAAAATCGTTATAAACAAGATCATTGTGAAGATTCTACCTGTATAACTTTTGACCTGCTGCTCTACAAGATATTCATAGTATCATGGCATATTGTACTAAATGGTAGTTTTTTTAGAAGAGTTGGGTCATTCTGGTGAATTGTAAAGTTTTTTTTTTGTCAGCTGCATTAAAAATTAGGATCAGTACGGTGAGTGAAAAGCAGTATAATTTCTGCGCAAAGTTCTCACATGATTTCCCCTTATTTAAAATCCTCCTGTGTATAGATTTTAATTAATTTTTCACGCTTCCCGAGGAAAACATTTTGACCAGTTTGCGTATGAGATCCCCAATTCAAGAATTTCTCAATTTCAAAAAGTATGTTCTTCAAAATTTAAATCCCGCTTCTAAATCTCGAAGCGAAGATTTGGAGTCGTCATCCCTCAGAATGATATCCTCTGCGTTTCGTCACTTTCGTTCAAAATTCAGTAAGACATAATGAAAAATTTAGACTGTGCAAAATCCCAGGGCGGGTCGGAGCAAGTTTTTGCTGTTCTGTGCGCCACCACGAAAAGTTCAGGTACTCACTGAGGTAGTGTAAGATGCTCATTGAAAAACAGTGCCACAGAAAACATCGAAAAGTCCACCTTCACGAAGAACGCAGCAAACACAGAGTTTGCTTCATCATCTTCAAACTTGCAACGATGAAGGGACGTGAGACAAAGCCATGATGCCCATCAGCCCCAACACAATAACAAACACAGACATCGGTTCGTCTCGTAATCCCGCTGATGGCGCCATACGCATAAGATCTGTGCCAGTGTCACTAGGGTTGTAGCACATCTCGTCATAGTTGCACCCATCAAATGAACACAAGCAAACGCAGGTCTTCCGCTTTGGACCTCGTGGGTTCCAGAAGTCTGCCACGTCCATAATTTGGCATTCGCTTTCGTGAAACGTGTCCGGGCGGTCAGTGATTCGCAGACAGCCTCTTCCATAATCTGGAAAAAAAAGAGGGTTTTTGCGTACTCCAGTACTTCTAGCAAAGCCACATACTGTAGACAAATTGTGTCTTATTCCTGACAAAATATCCAAATATTTCGAGGAAAGGATCTTGAGGAAAAATACGAAATCCGACAGCTTCGGTTCAGAGGGTACCTCAGAGGAAACCTATTTGCGTACCGTAACGACAATAAAGCGACCATGAGCTCTTTCGAGGATTCTTCCATTTCAAAAGTAAGCCTGATACCCCAAATATTTTAACTGTGCTGCCATTAAAAATATAAGGACCATAACAAGGTTTCAAATCTACCGCTCTTCAAATTAAACGCACATACCTTGAATAAAATTGTATTCTTCTTGAAATCAATTATACATACAATAAGTTATCGATAATTTTTTAATGACGAACAAATTCAAAGCAAACGAAGTGTATTTGATGTTCGGATCAAGTCTTGATACAGTACTTCTTACCAGCAACATAAAACAAAATATATATCCGAAANCTCTTCAAATTAAACGCACATACCTTGAATAAAATTGTATTCTTCTTGAAATCAATTATACATACAATAAGTTATCGATAATTTTTTAATGACGAACAAATTCAAAGCAAACGAAGTGTATTTGATGTTCGGATCAAGTCTTGATACAGTACTTCTTACCAGCAACATAAAACAAAATATATATCCGAAATAATATTATCTTGAAAAAAGAATCCTCTATAACTCTGATTTCGATGGACCAACAACCAAATTCGAGTTAGGGAGGTTCCAATAATTGAGGGAAACGAGCGTTTAAATCGCCAAAAAAAAGAAAAATCCAGGAAATTGTAATTCGAGATATTTTCGGCCTTTTAAATCATCACTTTTTAAACGAGACGACAGGATGCCGATCTAGGAGGCGAGGCTTCATTTGACCAATTAAAAAAAAATCAAGTTACATTCTTTATTCCTCTTCTCTCAATCAAGCCATTTAACAAGAAACGATTGTTCATGTCGTGTGCAATCAATGATTATTATTCAAAGCTCTGCTATTTTTAATGGTGCATGAGTACGCTGCTAGTTGTCCTAGCTTCTTGCTCCGTGTGTTGCCCCAAACCAGAAACCTAAGTTCGCACCTCTCCATCATAACCCCCATGGTGGGTTCCCGCGGACGTTCGCAGCCATCAGAGCAGGTGTAACACGTGCGACCTACAAAAGCTACAGAAGTTTCCCCCCGATCTGGAATATTCCAGAATGTTATTTTTTTTTATGCACCACATAGTACCTGCCTCCGAATAAGAAAAGAAGACCAACGCACCTGATGCTGTTGGACGGATAAACACTGTAAGCATGAGAACGTAGAACAGGTGAAATTTGAAAACGTGCTCCCTTTCTGTCGGCTGCATTTCCGTCACGGTCGTCAGTACTTCAACACAGATTTGGGCTGCGTTAGGAATGAAGTAATTCAACAAGCATGAACAGAGGAAAGGTTAAAACTGCAATAGACGCAGAAACGTGAAGAACCTTCAAANTGTATTTTTAAACAAACGGTGAAACTAGAATTTACAAGAAAAATTGTTCAGTTAGAAGGGCTTAGAAGAACACACCTGTGTTCATTTGAGGAATTCTCGATATTGACCACAGCTTCGAGAAATGAAAACTTCGTTAGTTGCATTCAAAAAACATAGTGCATTCTTTCAAGACATATGACTAACGTCCAGAACACAGAAGAGTAAAATGTGTTTAATTGCTAAATATCAAGGACTTTGTCCGACTGAAAAAAAAAGGTGCAGCGATATGAAAAAATACTCTTCCCGAAGAGAACACAGGAGCAAAAACGAACGAACAAACAACAAAAATACTCTCGAGCCAAGGACAAACTCAGCAAAATTTAAATTTTGAATACACAAAATGTGAATGTCTTTTTTTTCACTCATGCTAGACGCATTCGGGTGTTTGAAGGATCACGCCATTATGGTCCTGGCAATTAGTTCTTTCATGATCTCGTTCGTTCCTCCATAAATGGACTGGACGCGGGCATCTACGTAAGCCTTGCAAATGGGATACTCCCACATGTATCCCCAGCCTCCGTGGAGTTGTACACAGTCGTAAGCTCGCTTGTTCAGCAAATCTGATATCCTTCGTTCGAATATTTCAAAAAATCAGCGAAAAATGTTACAGGCAACAAGTACAACGATTTTTCCTCACCAGAATTTGGCCATTGAAGCCATAGCTCCATCCAACGCTTTGCGATTATGCAGTTCCAAGCACTGATCGACAAATGCTCTGGCAACGACCACATCTGTTTTGATTTCCGCAAGTTTGTGCTGAATCGTCTGGAAAAGGGAAAACAAAGGATCAAATCTCTGCGTCTATCTCAAGATACCGTATGTTATAAGAAACCAGAGATAACTCTCAAACAGATGTTACCTTCGATTTCGTTGCATTCACAGACGTGTGAGGATATTCCACTTATCTATCATTTCCCCCAAAAATTACAGTCTTAGTCATTTTCTCATAATCATGCACAACCTTACAACCTAAAATGCTCCTACAGTGTGCCCTACTTGACCTGTTAAAAGTTTTAACCCTTTATGTGAACTTAGAGTTATTGAGCTTGTAGGGGTTCAGCTTATGGAAAGATGCAGTGTAAAAGTTCTCTCTGTCTTAGTTCCCATAGAAACAATGCAATAAAAACCTCTCACACTTAAAGGCTTTCCCCATCAAGCTTCCATAACTGGAATATTCTACGAATTTTTGGATATTTTTTAATGACACAGGAAAGAAAAAAGCAATAAAAATGTAACTTTCTGTATTCTGAGAGTGAAAAACTAATTGAGCAAATAAACCCTCACCTCCAAATTCAGCATCCTGTCAACTTATTCAAAACGCAATTTAAGGCCTAGAATATCACCGATTACAATTTCCTGTCATTCCTTATTTCCCCCAACATAAATAAATGCTTATTCTCCTGACTCGAAACCTCTGTAACTAAAATTTTTTGCAGGTCCCTTGAAGTTCGACTGCACATGAATTCTGAAAAGCTGATCTCATAGGCAAAGGCCCGAATCAATCTGGTCCCCAATGCCCTATTTCGGAAGTGGATCATATTTACGAGGAAATAAGCAACAACTAATCACTCTGAACATGTTTGAAGACGAGAAAGTAAGCGAACCTGAAGGTTGATCAAATTTTTCCCGAAGGCCTTCCTTTCTTTGCAATACGTCCTGGTCGTCTCGAACATCCATTCGAGCGTCGCAGTACACATTTGTGCAATCAACAGTCTCTCTTGAGGCAACTCATTCATGAGGTAGTAAAATCCATTATTGGGTTTACCCAACAGGGCAGACGCAGGGAGCCGGACGTCTTCGAAAAACAACTCGGCTGTATCCTGGGCCTTGAGCCCCATCTTCTGCAATTTCTTTCCTTTCCTGAATCCCTTCATGCCTTCCTGGTGATCTTTCTCTGACTACGGCACTCGGAACGAAAAGACTGAGCTTAGGCACTGACGTTGATGCTAGTGCTGCAGCGACTCGGTCGGCAACCACTACTTGCAAAACGACGGTAAGTCCTAGGTCAGGCTGCCATCCTGCTTTGCGTTGGTGCGAACTCCCTGCAAATCGCTGATATAACGTGGAATTTTAATAATCATCAATGAAAGCAACCATTGGATTGTTCAATTATTTAAAATATGTATACAGCCAGACCTCCTTAGATCGAACCTCCCAATGTCGAAAAACCTCAAATTTCGTTTAGTCCATGTTATAAAATAATGTGTCCCAAACCTCCCTCACTCAAAATCTTTCAATTATAAACACCCTTGACGCGAAATTTCCGAAGACATGAAAGGAGAGAAAACTCGAACGATAATTTTGAAAAGAAAAAAAAATCAACTTTAATTCGTCCATAAAATCCTGGCTTGAGGCTCCGCATCCAGTAGACTCCAGTTTCCTGTGGTTACGGAAAAGTACATCCCACTTATTGTTTCCTTTACGAAGACCTGTTTGATGTGTGTTAAAATCCTGAAAATCGTTTGTAAATTCAAGTTTAATGATGAAAGTTTTAAATGTCGTTCGGAAAAGTCTGGTAGTTTTCCTAACCTGCCTAACTTGAAACCTCTCCAAGTCGCATTTTTTGCCGGTCCCGTCAAATTCGACTATAATACTGTACTTCGGAATATGCTGAAATATTATTACTAACCTTCCCGCGCCGGGTTCGGTCATAGCAATAGCACCGATCTTCTTCCCTGAGAGCATGTCCGGAATCAACCGTTCTTTTTGCTCTTTTGACCCGTAGTGCGAAATATATGGCAAGACAATATCGGAATGCAAAGCAAATCCAATGCCACTGTGATTCACGTACATTCTGGAACGATCAAAAAGTATGCATCACATACACAGACTGATGGGAAAAGGGATCTGAACGGCGTCAACTCGCTAAAAGTACATACAGTACAGGACTTCGAACGAAAATTGATCATGAAGCTAGGGATAAAAACGATGAGACTTAGAATAGAATGCAAGACTGGGGTATTTGCAAGACTTGCAAGAATATCAAGTAGATTTCTTCTGTAAGGTTTCAGAGAAATAAAAACTTTTTCAATACGCCAAAGTGAGTAAACAAGTTCATAACCCAAAAGCTCAGGGTTGTTTAATTCCGCTGTCTTAACTGCGCGAAGTGCTGGTTGCTCTTAGTCTGGTTTCTATGCAAAAAGAAAGATTGTATTAAGTTGATTAGAAAATCCTGCAGATTTTTACACTTTCCGAGTCTAGCACCGTTCGATTCATATCGTAGAAAAGGTTTAAACGACCCACTGTTCCTCAGAGACGATGCAGCTATCCAAGTAAGAACCACCCATTCCTCCACAATCTTCAGGCACATTGATTCCCAGAAAGCCCTGCTCACCAGCTTTCTGCCATAACTCGCGCCCAACATCTCCTTGCTTTTCATGTCTAGAGAGAAACATAAGAGAAAAAATTTATTTCTGGATTTCCAAGAAACAGACATCAATGCCACACTTTTCCAAATGCGGCAGAGCTTCTTCTTGAAACCACTTCCGCACTGACTGACGGAAAATATCCTGATCAGCTGTAAAAATCGGTCGTGTTCCGATGTCCATCATATTATCGGCTTGGGAAGTGGGTTTACGGGTGATATCATAATGAGTGGACCTGAGGGAAGAGAAACGAAATTCATTTCGAAGAAAGAAACAAATTCAACTCGAAACTAACCTCAAGGATAAAAAGAGACATCTTGATGGTTTCGACGTTGCGAAAGAAATCCCACGCAATACACTTCGGAGCATTTTGAAAATATCAAGCGAAACGACGGTAACGAAAGACAGCGGTAACAATAACGTATAAAATACTGCACAAAGAAAAATGGGAATGAGAAAAATCGCAGAAAGAAAGCTAATCCACAAAACAATGAGATTACTCATCTCGATATCACACGCAAGGTACTTTTATTCGACGACAGCAATCCAGATTAAAATCCGCTCAAAATATTTAACCGCGCTTTAAACTTGAGGTTATCTCCGAATAAACGGACCATGCAGGTTACGTCAACCACGGAATACTTCCCGAAAGAAACTGTCTAAAAATACAAGTCACGTTCTTCGACGCATCCCTCTTCCGTGGGTGTGTCTGGGGCTCGTAGTTACGTAAGCTATCACTGTTCATGCAACGGTATCATTTCGAAATTGTTTCTCTCCCAACCAATGGATAGAGAAATATACAAGAGCATGATAACTGTACGAACGAGCGGAATCAAGACTGTAATTAAACCACTGTCGCGGGACTCGAACGACTCATAACGACGCAACAAAAACACCAAAAATCTTTCGCCAAAAACGCACCAATACCGTGAACAAAAAAAATGGCACTTATGCACACGAATCAAATATCATTCCCTTCTTGAAACACAATTCGGAGAAAATTATCGTGCACATTCGTATTTTCAAGGGGAAAAAACGGAAGAGGGGACTGAAAATTTCGTAATCCCATTGGCATTAGCATCCCTGAGACGCGCGTAAATTCTCAAGGTTCACTAGTAAATAAATGAAGATGCAAGATCTGTTCCTCACATACGTTCCAGTCGAATAATTAAAATCTTGATACGATAAATACATAAATCGCGAAGTCATCGTCGGCGACATCACAAAGACTTCGCAATGAGGACGAATTCTTGCGGAGCCAAGACCTTGACTCAGATGTACACTATACCATACCGTGCACCTTTCTGAAAGCCATGAGGCGATGCACGCGATCATACACTTCACTATCAACGTCAGCACCTTCACACTCGTACCACCTGAAGCATTCGGAAACGAGATAGTGTGATTCACGCTCTACTAGACACACAAATACGTGGCAATTTAGGATGACGATGTAATAACATGAAAGTATGAGCATGAAACGTGTTCCCAATGAGCGTCAAAATCTTGATACACGAGGAAAAAAAATCTCAACACCTTGGAAGAGTTCGGCGCTTTGAGACGGAAAGATAACGGTTTTCACCCTTACAAGGAAAATCCCAGAATTAAGGGATAAATATAATTTCGTATGATACGTACATGCCACTCGTTTAGTTCCCAATACAATTCTAACAACTAAGGTAGCTTAGCATTAACAAATCTTCCTTTTTTTCAATCCCTTGCGTCGAAAACTTCTGAGCTTTCAAAAGATGCCAAAATGTTTCCAAGGTTTCTCTGAAAACTCCATAGAAACCGATGCCCGTTTCACAAAATGCTTTCGTTTCGTTGGTCTAATAAAGTCAAGCAGAACTCCGTAATCCATGCTTACCACGCGAAGCGCAGATTACAATGGGGAATTTAGTCACAGTCTGCTACAAACTGTACATAAAGATCCTAAACACAATAACGGCGACGGTTTAAACGAGAACATTAGTTATTCTCCTTACTCTTCCACGCGGAAAATTCTCATGTTCAACATTTCCATGAGTAGACTCAAACGTACCAATCAAAACCTTCAAAGCCACACTCGATAATTTCAAAATCAGAGAATTCCACTGCCTCATACACTTTCGTAAGATGTCGATGCGGATTCTGTTCACAGTCCGGCGCAGGTGTCACCAGTTCCGCAACCATGTTGGCTGCATCATGGATTACCGTCGTCCCTCGAAGCTTGAGAAAATGATGCTAGTGATGCAACTCAAATACAAATCCATGAAAGATATTCCTCTGACCGTCTCAGCAACCACATTATCCAGAGCTTGGGATAAATTTCGCATCACCACGAGCTTGATCATGATGGCTGTGTACTTAGTAGCATGTCATTTCACGATGGTTATCGGAAGGAACGCCAAGGAGGCCGGAGACTGTTTTGGAAAACGCACTCTGGAATGGCATGCTCAGTTGGTTGAGGAACACAAAAAGTCTCTACAATCGAATCCCCAAGTCTGAATCACATATATCTTCAAACCATTTAATCTCGGTCTTCTCCGCACCATTGTGCAACGTGCACAGAGCAGCACACAAAATGTATTAAAAATTGTATCACGAAGAGCTGCATGCATTTCTGGAAACTATCGCATCGCTCGAGCCTGAAGAGAAAAATTTAGTACCCTCACATTTCGACAAATAGCCATTGAAAAAATCAGCAGCTGACATAGACTTTTTCTCGTGAATTTGAAGACGCAAAATAAGTATCGCGCCTTCTTTACATCTAACTCCTATTGCTTTTGCGGACTTCAAATAACGAAAGCTTCCGGGTGTAAGCTTCTGCAGCACGGGAGAAACCGCCGAAATTTCCGCTTCCGCGATAAATTTCAATTCCAAGAGTCTGATATCGCCGATCAAGCCCGTCCATTGTGTCACTATAGGATAAGTTGACGAAATGGCTCTACACTGAAGGTCAATGCACCGACTAGATGAATTCCAGTTCACGCGAGCTTCTTCCGGCTTCAACTTCGGAGCTAGAAGATGCGAATAATTATTAATGAAGTAGATGATAAATGGTATACAATAGAATAAAGCTTACCCAAGCGTACACCAGTAGTTGGCTGAGCTTTCATGTCGGCGAATGACTTGGGGAGATCCTTCAAAACTTCCAGTAATAACAACGATCCTACGTCGGCAATTTTCATCAGAAGAGTCTCAGTAGTTTCGTCACTGTCGATGATACACTGCCGCTGCGCCAAGATTTCCCCGACGTCAAATCTGTAAAGGTACACGAGTCTGTGCCGACTTCGCAACACACAAGTCGCAAGAACGTTGTATCAAAACTCCACCTGTGTGGATGAATCCGCATAATGGTCGCGCCTGTAAAGGTGTCTCCGTTTAAAATTGCGCGAGGAACAGGCGCAGCTCCTCTCCAACGAGGAAGTAAGCTTGCGTGCACATTGAGAATTCCCCTGATAACAAATGCAGCCGAATCATTAAAACAGAGTATAGATAATGGTTGGTAAAGTTTTTTCAGACTTTACAGTCTTCAAGGTGAAATAACTTATTTGGAGTTGCATCCACTACCTCCCTGACTCTTGCTTCAACTTCCGCATAAATTTAAATCTGAACAAAATCCTTGAGTTATAGAGGCACCTTCGAGTTAAACTCGGGTATAATTGAAATATTCGCTGACTTCACGAATTAACAGGTGGTCTAAGCGATTTCTGATACAGCTGAGCCTACCTACATGAAATCATTCTCAAGCCCAGTCTGAATGGCGTTAGAACCAATGCATTAAAAACCTCCCTCACTCAAATGCTTTCCCCCTCAAACCTCTTCAACTAGAATTCCCTGGAGGCCTTTTTCGTCAATATTTCATCGACACGGAAAAGAGAAAAGCAATAGATGTGCTTTGCAAGGAAGTTGGAAGATAAATCAGACAAATGATTCGTTGCCTTCAAGTTCAGCATTCATTCGGTTAACTAATTTGAAAAGCAATTAAAGCCCAGAATATTTCCAATGAAAATTTAAAATTTCCTGCATTTCATCTTTCTTCTTTCATCTTCAACTCGAACAGAAGTGAGAAACCCTCGTATACGTCTTGGAAGGAAAGTATCACCAAGGAAAGCTTTCGATGAGCTCGCGTGGAAGAAGATGTCCAAAGGAGGCGACCACGCCAACATCGAAGTCGTGATTCGGTTCCAGTTTCACAGGCCATCGGTGGACAGGCAACCCAGAACATTTCGCAAATTTGCCTATTCGCGAAGCGCCTGGATTCTTTGAAACTATCTCCAATCGCTCAACACTAGTTCCCCTTTGAAAATGGTACAATTTTGTATTCGAATCGAAGCCGTCCTTCGAAATCCTCAGCACTAAAACTCACCTGACATCATTCAAAGCCTCGGCATTTTTCACAGAAAACGCATCGGAGCCGAAAAACATCACATTCCACGGGACATCTAGCTTCTTCGAAGAGAAGCGGCGCAATTTCACGAGACCCGAGTTTTCTCGAAAACACTTCTCGCATCGCGGTATTTTCCGAAGCATTTCCTGCAGACAACGAAAGCGAAAACTTTCCAACAGTAGAGCAAGACTCAAAAAGCTTCCATCTAAATATTAAACTCACTATTCATCAGGAAACTAGTCTCAAGAGTTTGATTTAATTATGGAAATTGCACCAAAAAATCACACATCGCACGTAGTCACGAATACCCTAATTTGCACAGCACGCCGGGATATCCACGTAAATCTACAAACAAAACATAACAAAATTCTGATACCGAATACCGAAACAATAATTAAACCACCTCCTGAGAACGATACAGATCAGTATTTGAAAAAAAAAAATAATTTATGAGTTTCAACATTGGGTTTACGTGAATCAGGAATAACGAGCGAAGCGGCAGTTAATGGGAATATTCGTGACACGAAGTCCTCAAACTTCTTCGAGTTCAATGAGAACTCCTCCACAATCTTTCGGATGCAGAAACATGACGGGTTTCCCGTGTGCTCCAATCTTCGGTTCCTTTCCCAGACAACGCACTTTCGCTGCTTGAACGCTTTTAATCGCCGCATTGATGTCGCTGACTTCGAGACAGATGTGGTGTAAACCTCCACTCTTGTTCTTGTCAAGAAAACCCTGAGAAAATAAATTACAGTTAAACCTCTACAAGTCGAACTTCAAGGGACGAGCATAAACTACAAAGTCTTCTTTTTCGGATAAAAACGATTCCGAAAGTTACCGAAGTTCAACTACAAGTGATTAAATAAGATAATGAAAAGGTTGAATTGCATTGAAATACCTGAATTGGCGAATTTGCTCCCAAGGGATGCAACAACTCGATTTTGCTGTTTCCCAGTTCCACAAAAACCGTGTAAACTCCGTGCTCGGGTTGTTCATGAGCGTCACTCACTTTGGCTCCAAGAACGTCACGATACATTGCAGTGGCTTGTGTCAGATCCGGAACAGCAATCGCGACATGGTTCAGCTTACCGAGTTCCCAGAGCTTCTTTGGAACTCCCGCGGATTGCTGATGCACATTCGACGACGAAATCAGCCTTTGTTGACAAACGCTCAACATCGCAGGAGAAGTTTCATTTTGCTGTAAAGCACGGCGAAGAAGAGGCGCAACACGAATGCCAGTGACGCGGAGTCGGTCCATAGTTAATTCGGATTAAAGCACTCGAATTTCGAACTTTCTGAAAACCACACAACCTCATTCAACTTCACCGGCTCAATTCCCAACAGTTCTTTCTTCGTCACTAATTAATGCAGGTCATCGAAAGCAATGGCAATTTTTGTAATAACAAATCAGAACTGAATGCATCTTCGAATTGCACTTCACAAGTTCGCGTATCACTTGTCTGGTTTCTCTGAAATATTCCAGGACCTTGAAGAATAAAAAACTGAATTTATATCACATAAATGCCGCCAAGAATGAAAGCAAACCAGGGAAACAAAATCAAGTACATTTATATCAACGCATTAATAATGAAGAAAACAAAACATCTGAAAATTTTCCAGAGGACGACTACAAATCAACTTCCGGCTCCATTCAATGCGGATTTTTGCACAGCTCAACTCTTGTAACTGCCTGCAGTATCGGCAATGAACTCGTTCCCAGTAGCTTCTTTTTCTAGAAGCTGCTGCTTCTTCTGTTTCAGTTCCGGACGCTTTTTCACGATGTAGTAGTATCCGAAGGAAGAGACGCCGTACAGACCATACATGGTCAAACCGAAACACACAACAACGAAACTCTTGTGTAGCGCGCCAATGAAGGGCCACGGTTTCTTCTGCTTCTGAATAATCATAACGCGTTTTCAATCACCACATCAGTTTTCTGTAAAAAAAACGGAAGAAAATCTAATAAATTCCACTCACAGACGTAAATTTGATTACAAACCCACAAATCTGACAACAAAACAAAACTAACAAGACCCGGAATGACGAATAGCTTGGGGACACCCGAGGACAGGATTCAGAATTCAAGCAATACAGTAATTGCCCATCAGCATTTTGAAATCTCACTTTAATGTCAAGAAAAGCGTAACAGCAAAACAGGGAACTTTTAATCCAGAAAACATGAACATAAAACCTCTCAACAACTCATAAATGAAGTTTCGTTTAAATAATCCATAAAAAAAAAATGCCACGGAGTCCGGACATCAAGCTCCTTGATCATTAATTGAGGAGTGGTCAAAAATCCAAATTTAACAAGCAATCATTCAGAAATGAAGGGTAACTTAGGTTTTTAAAAAAAAAATAGGTTTTAATAAAATTAGACTTTCAATAATTGGAACATTTTGGACGTTGATCCATTGAGCAGCAGCTTGCTTGACCGTATGTACACCCACGATGTACCCTATTAAAAAAGAAGGAAAACGGATTAAAGTCGGACAACAGCCAATAAAAAAAAAAACTCGCTTCATCCCAACTATAAATTCGGGGAAAAACCTATAGAAAAATATGGACTCAGTGAAAGGTCAATCCGTTGGAACGACGGAAGAACGAAACCCGAAGATCGTAAACGCTAGGGAACATTATTATTCACAGAATTAGACGCCATGTTCTTCCAGATGTGGAGACGACCTACTCCAGAGTCATCGCATACAGTAAGTTTATCTCACGAATACATCTGACCACAAACAGATTATTCGTGATTTTGAAGGTGGAAGAGCTTTTGTGGGAAGAAATCAAGCGCGATCTGGAAAACGTTCTGCTCTGGCAGCAAACGTATTTGGCCTTCGATGAACTCTACATGAAAACTTATGGACTGATTCAAGCGAACGGAACGGAGCGAACAGAAAACGAAGTTTTGCAAGTTGTCAGCAGTCACATGAGGAATCACGTAAGCACAAAACAATTCTCAACCTCGTGACTTGAAGAACTCGGCTTTCGTGAAAAGCTTGAAAACATTTTTTTCTGCGACAGATCCTCCCGCAGCTGGCACAGCTCCAAAACACGACTTTACTGGAATCACTCGTGAGACACTTCAACACTTTTGAGCTCTCCATGCAAAAGTTCGCTCAAATCATGATCTACTTGGATCACACGGACACCGAAGATACGCCACGTAACGGGAAAATTTATACCAAAGGAATCGAAGCATTTCACACCCAGATCCTCTGCGACCCCGAAGTACAATCGAGTTGGAACTCGGCCATGAATCACGTTATTTTTCTGGATCGTAAGGGAGAAACACACGATCCAGCTCTAGTTGCCCAATTTTTCCGAATGCTTCATAAGTTTCCCTCGTCCATCGTACAGTATCAGCGAAGTTTCATGGAGGATACAGCGCAATACTACGCCGTGAGTAGAGCTGATAAAAAACTTCAGCTATTCGGGTACTCAACAAGATGCCATCAGTTTTTAGATGCATGCTTCTCCGATGCTCCTAAAATTTGATAGAAGTAATGCATTTAAAATTTTACACAGCTTCTGAAGTTTCATAATGCGTACCTAAATCATGACTGCTTAGCTGCTCAAGAATATTCCAAGTCATTTTGCTCTCCTCATATTTTGATCGAAAACTGCAGGGATACTTCGTTCAGGTACACTTGGAATATTTGAAGTAAATTTTATTCAAAATTCGAAGATTTCTTTACAACCATATGGGGTATAAGATATCAAATTGAACCACAACAACTCGAACCTTTCCAAGTCAAATACCTCCTGATGTCGAACTTTCTTCGAGTTCCTCTCAGATTTCCCTCGAAAAAATCGAACAATAAATTAAAAACATCCCAAACTCGAAGGCTTTCCTCCTCAACTCTCCATCACTCAAATTTTCTGCAGGCCTTTTGGTCATTATTTTATTAAAGCAGGAAAGAGAAAAGCAATGAAGAAGTAACGAATGTATTTTGGGAGGGAATTACAGACTAATCAATTTGGCACTTAAACCCTCACCTCCAAGTTCAGCATCCTGTAAACTCATTTGAAAAATAAATTCAAGGCTTAAAATATCACTAATTGAAAATTTCCTGTTATTCTCCTTTCTTTCCCCAGACAAATGCTTGTTTCTCCAACTCGATTTTTTTTTTTTTTGCTGGGTCCTTCGAAATTATAGTGAAAAAGGTTCGACTATACTTAATTGAAAATTACATGCAACTTAATTTTTCTGAAGACATTTAAAAAAAATTACACCTTACGCGCGAGTACACATGGTATTCAACTACGAGAAAATTATGAATCTCAATTGCCCTTCAACACATTCTTACAACCAATGCCTCCACATAGACAAGTCAAACTACTCTAATTCTCCACGCAGAATAAAGCAAATCAAACAATTCCAAGCAAAGTCTGCGGAATGGATGGAACGTCTTACATTCTATGCATGGAAGCGTATCTAAGGAATGTAGAAACATTCATGGAAATGGAAACACAACGACTGAACCTCTTCCAGACGGATTCTTTCGTTGAAAGCGTTACTGAATGCATTCGAACTGAGATGATTTGGAAGCACATTGACACACTCGTCGAGGTGAAGTGAAGTTGACATCCTTTTTGTGAATGAAGAAAGCATTTTAAAATTGCGCCCAGATCAATGACTTTGGCGTGGCTGACATGATCAAGAAAAACGACTCAACCACGTTGAGAGTAACATACCGGATGCTGCTTCCTCTGAAAAATGGATTGGATATAATGAAGAAATCTATTTCGAAATTCATCCAAAGCTTCTTCAACGACATTCTAGGGAAACCAGATCACCAAAACGCAAACGCAATACAGGTGAAAATCAAAAAAAGTTTTCTGCACGTAAGTCGAGTGAAAAAAATAGTATTATGTATCCTTTACAGGAACTTGTGGACTTCAAAATTCATTTGGACGAATCCCTGATCCATTCGCTTGATCATCACCCAGAAATCGTAAACGAAGTCAACAAGAATTTTGCTGAAGTCATGAACAGAGGAACAGAGACACAGAAATTGCTGGCGCAATTTATTCACAATATGCTTAGGAAGGATGTCGTAAAATTCGGGAAAGATTCTCTCACGAGCCGCCTTCGCGCATCTGCCGAATTACTTCGACTTATTTCCGACAAGAGCTATTTTTTGAGCCATTACCGCCTCAGTCTTGCCAGTCGCATTCTGCATGACAATAGCGAATCACTGGAGCACGAAAAAATCTTGCTTCGCGAAATCGAAGTAAGTTGACTTCACACATCAAAATGATACTTATTTGAGTTAGAAAGATTTCGAGTCAGGGAAACAAGCTTTCTTTTCGGGGGAAATCAAGATGAAAGACAGGAAATTGTAATTAATCATCTAGGCCTTGAATTGCTTTGTAAATTAGTTGACAGGACGTTGAGGGTTCCTTTGCCCAATGAGTCCTCCAGTCCCTCTCAAAACAAATTAAGTTACGAAACAATTGTAATGCTTTTCTCTTTCTTGTCAATAAAAAATAATAACCAGAAGACCTCCAGGAAATACAATTTATAGAAGGTTCCAGGGGGGAAGCCTTTGAGTTAAGGAGCTTTTCAATGCATTGTCTCGAAGGGAATTCAGGCTGGGGCTTGAAGAAAATTCGACATGGCGAGGTTCGAGTTATCGAGGTTGAACTGCATGTCCAATAACTTGAAAAATATTTTTGCATCGCTTACCGATTACTTCTGAAAAGTTTCAATTGCAGTATTGGAGCATGACCGAAGAAATGGACCAACTTGAACATCAATAGTTCTAAACGAACCTTGCAGAAAATCACAAATCTTCACCATCAATTCACCCTGAATTCATTTTCATGTTCGTTTCGAACTGGGTCCAAGGGTTGCCGATTCGTTTCTCATGGGTTTTCATGCTAACATATTTCAAGAAAATTTCCCCCTGACTCATAAAAGAACTTGAAGCATTATTTCTCTAGAGATCTGACTTAAGATTTGAATGTTTCACCTTGCGCAGAAATCAGAAACGCCTCTCATAAAAATATCTTCGCGTCCGAACAGTAGAACTTGATTTAATAATTTATTACAGTTGGATAATGGAAAGCAGTTCACAGTGTACTTCCAAATCATGTGCCAAGATATGCATGATTCCAAGAAGATGCAGGGATGGGAAACTGACTTCAACTTCAGCTCCCCCAAAGAACAAATCAAATTAATCCCCAAAATCCTCACAACCGGGATTTGGCCAGTTCCTATGACGACCACGAAAACCTGCCGCTTGCCTGAAATCGTTCAATATACCTGGGACAATTTTGCGTAAGAAAACTGGGGGGAACGTTAACATATTCGGCTGACAGTAAAACCTTGGAGAACAGACACTTCAGAGCTCTTTTATATAGAAGTTACTACCGGATGAACCACGCGAAAGGCACATACGATCACCGTTCCAGAAACGCAAACCTTCTCCTTGAACACGGGAATTTCGAAGTTCAAGCATCTTTTTTGATGACACTCGAGAACCCGAATCAACAACGACACCACGCTACTCATCTCGGAAAGCTCAAGCGATTTCACGAAGAGAAATTCATCAGGACTGAATGCGGTACAATACGTAATCATTTGTTTCAGGTACGAAAATCAGTGGAATTTCTTTTCGAGTTGTCCATGCGTCATTTTATCAAGTCACGTAGAGTGAGAAATTATATCTCACTTTTCCCATCGCTTCCAAAAAGCTCTGAATACTACCCTCCTAAGGGTAAGAAGTACTACAGAATTTGATTCGAGTTGAGGACATCAGGTCACATAGTTCTGTCCTTCGTCTTAAACTTCCATGTTGGGTTTATATGCTACTGCATTAAGAACACTAGGATTTTTAAAAGTGTATTGCACGTATTCAGAGCAAATCTAAGGACAGTTCAATTCATCCCATGATTTGCACGAACTGTTTCTACAACTTTTAATACAGAGATAAATGTAAGTCAATTATATTCATTTCCTCGATGTCTTTACTCTCTTCAAAAATTGAGTGCCAAAATATTTATAGGTACACATGATAAAAAAAAACTTGCAACGCAGTATCGTAAAATAATTTTTCTTTTTGCTTTGTGGCATCCACTAATGCCAACATTTCATGGATATACATTTTTAGGCAGTATGGCGTCACCAAAAGGTCAACAAATTGCACTAAGTATAATGGAAAATTTAAATAAGAGGCGAATACAAATTTTCAGAATCAATGCGAACCCTTAGGAGTTAGGGACATGTTCCTCTCGAAGTCAATAGATGCGACATCCAACTCAAATTTGATCGAAAAAATAATTGCAAAAAATCTTACACACTTCGTTTTGGAAGCTTAGCCCAGGTTTTTCAATAACGAAGCTAAAAATTACACCCCAGGTCTCCACATACGAAATGTGCGTATTGATGCTGTTCAACGACAGAGACAGACTGACCTACCAGGTACGGAATTTTCTTCAGTCTTCTTCTACTAGCATAATAGCTTACGTCGATATATCTTTTTCATTACGAGGACATCATGTTAGGAACTGAAATGCAAGAACATAACATATCGCACACGCTCGAAGTTCTCATGAATCCGATGCATCCAATTTTGCTCAAGCAGCCGCCATCAAAGATCATCGGTCCCACGGATACGTTCATCATCAACAACAATTTTTACTCTGAGGCGTTTAAAATACCAATACACAAAGTATTGCTGTTATCGCCTCAGAAAATTACGGTCAAAAAGGCAACGCATTACCAAATAGATCGCGCGCAATCTCTGGACGCAGCAGTTGTGCGCATTGCGAAGAGCAGCCAAAAAATATTCGTACGCTTCAAATGCGTCAAATTTTACACACAAAACAAGATTGATTTAAGGATAATTTTCCTCACAGCATGAAACTTTGGTCGGCGAAGTGAAAAAGCAACTCTTGCCATGGTTCGTTCCCACAAACGGAGAAATCAAAAGGAGCCTCGAGAGCCTCATTGAGCGCGAGTTCATCAATCGTGTCCCAGAAAACAAGTCGGTACAACGATTCGATTTGGTAAACCAAGACGCCGGCCATCTTTTGTTTTTCCTTTTTGCAGGGAAATGTATGTTTATCTTCCTTAGATGCCTCCGAAACATTTCGAAACTGATATCATCGCGATTGTCTTGATTCCTCGCAAACCATCCAAGCCACGCTGACGAACGGTTCTGCATCTTTTGAAATTCAACGCAAGACTCAAAGCTGATTCTACACTGGAAGGGAAAATCAGGATTTGAATAGAACTTGGGATCAAGCGAACCCGACGTCACCAGAGACGCTTCTGAACATTTATTTTTCGTTTGTACAAGAAAAGTAGTTCATCACTGATTTAGCAGTCATACGTTGTTCGGATTTGTCTGTATATTCTTGAATATTTTTTGTCCACATGCTAAGAAATAAAGGAAGGAGATTCAAAGCGAGTCGATGAAAACTCGACAACTGATCCAAGTTTTCAAGGTGTGTGTATGGTTTACAGAGGGAAGAAAGTTCTCGCTTACAGGTAACGCAAGGAATTGCCAGTTCAAGATCGGAAGTCTTACTCGATATCACGAATGCTAGTTCAAGTGAAAACTTTCACGAGCAGGCAGTCACTTCTATGGCTACTCATTCAGAGAATTTAAAAATTCCGAAGCGGCATACAGTATACTGCATTCAAAAGGTTTAAGAACCTAATACGGTATCTCAAAACGTTCTGTTTCAACCCTGAATTCCTGGAGTGAAATACATTCATCATTCAACTTTGAGGAAGACCCTTCCCATAATAAAATTTCAAGCTAATTTAATTTAAACTTAAGCATTTAAGGTAAACTTCACTTTCAAAGGAGTTCGAGAAGACAAGACAATTTCAGAGACAAGATCTGCAGGTCTTCTCGATTTCCAAACCAATTTCATGAACTCAGGAACAACTCATGGCTGGCTATTTACCTTATTCCTGCAGGATCAGAACACTTGGCTTCTAAACCACAAATGAAATGTAAAAATTTGTATTTTTCGGAATGTAAATGGGGTCGTTTGGAAATGGGCAAGCTGTTTGTTTGCCCAAACAGGAGGGTTGTTTTGTTTGCTTAACAATGCGCCATTTGACAGTAGCTCAAATCAAAGCCGACAGTGTTTTAGCTGAGTCATCACAGTACAGTATTTCAAAATAATGAAAGAACAACAATCAGCTTTGAAACGAACTCTGAGCATGACAAATAAGAAGACCCAACAAATTACTCACACTTCAAAGGAACTTCGTGAAGGCCAACTTGTGTCGTATAATTTCGTGCTTCTCGATAGTTTTCTTGAACTTGAACAACGACAGATCGTTGGAAATTTTCCCCTTCGACGCGATACGATCATCGCATGCTTCGGGAAACAGCAGTACGGCACCCACAGCAACTGGAACCACCCGATTCTTGACAACTGGGAACCCCTGAATCGCAGCACGGAACAATTGCTCGGCTGAGCTAAACTGGAACACTAAATCCACCTTCTCTTGGTCCACCATCAACCCTTCCTTGCCATCCAAAGGATTCTGAGCAATACCATCATTCTTCGGGCAAAAATACGTCGGTGTGAAAGAGAGTCTCAACACGCCTGTGTTTTCATCAGGCGCGTCCAAAATGGCGGATAACGTGTGGTGTATTCTAGGCACGACAAACTCGTCTGGTTTCGAAATAATCACAGTACCCGGCATCTTGTGCCGGCGGTTGTTCGATCTCAAGGCACAATCCACCAGAGCCAGATTTCTCTGTTTATCCACGCCTCCGTGAAACGGGAAATTCCACGGCAACACACCCAGAGCTAAACCCGATTCCCAAGCAGCAGGGAACACTACGCTGGAATCCCTATGAGAAAGCTCATTGCTTCCGTACACCCAAAATTCTCTGATGTCAGCAGCGCTTTCGTAATACGCAAAAGCCGCCGTTAATGTAGAAAAAACGTCTTTGCCGGACTCAGACGCCAAGAAAAAGCATGTCGTCATTGACGTCGCCGAGGAATGCGACCGGACTCCGTACATCTTCGTATTCGCTTCAGAAATCACAGCAACACTGGCACCGGAATTAAATTTGATCTTGATAGGCGTATGCGGATTCTCTATCTTCTTGAACACGAGAAATATCGGCTGCCAGTCGTAACCGCTCCTAACTTCTTCATCGCTGGTCATCATCGATTTCAACACGTCCACCTTAGCACTCACTTTCTGAGACGAGGATCCGAAAAATAACTCGGCATCAACGAGAGATTTAAAATTTACCGGCGCGCTTGCACCAAGCACCACAACCTCACTCGGGCCATCGGCCGTAGAAACAGAATAAGCTGAATAGACGAACAAAGATTCTCCAATGCGTTGCCAGGACGATCCAGCGCTGTCAAGAAGATATCTTGCAGCAGAATCTGGCAAGGATACATGCGGTAGTTCGGCGCGGCAGAATTCGGACTTCGACAGATTTCTTCCGTGAGGATCTCCGAAAACCTCCATCACTTCCATGACGCTTCGTAATCGGTCATACTCGTGTTTGTAATAGAGGAAAAGGATTGTTGTCAGAAAGCCAATCCCTGTCACGACGGCTTGTTGATACTTCCTCATGTTACAATCGCGGGACGGCTGCATGCATTCACATCACAATACTTAAAACCAATCACATTTCAATGCCATAATCTGAAAAGCAAGAGGGAGAAAAAAAGGCGATGAAATCGGTCCCGTCGAGTTTAGACAGACGAACAGATCTTGGTCGTATAAACTATAAAGCAACAAATCCGATCACAGATACAAACACGAAAAAAAAAATCACGGGCCCAATTTTAGATCCAACACAACGTGGTCCACTTTTGGAGCATAACTCTTGACTCTATGCAATCCTATGACTTTAATGCTCCACGATTCCGAGTGAGAAAACGATTTCAATATTTCATTGAATTTTTCGACCACGGATGCGGACCATTTGCGATAATCAGGATGCAATAGGGGGTCTTTTTCGTCTGAATGAACGTCAACATTTCCGTGAACGAAAATGACGCCACCACAATCACGTCGCACCGATTTTACGGCTGCTTCCCAGCCGATCTCCGAAGAAGGAATCAATCCCAGGTTGACTATTTCGGCAACGCCAGCAGGACAAACCTGTGGAATCCGAAACATTTTCAAACAAAGAAATGAAAAGTTTCTAAATAAGCCTGTACCTCACGACAGTCTCCTCTGTGTATTTTGAATCTCGAACTCTCGATTCGGTTCAGCTTCATGTTTCTTTCTAAAGCATCCACGGCAGCGGGATTCCATTCACAAGCGTGCAAAAATTTCACTCGAGTTTTGAGTAGGAAAGTGAGCGAGAAATAGCCGATACCAGCGAACAAATCCACGACAACTTTTTCGGAGCAATCAAGCTTTGCAAGACGGTCTTTCTCTGTGATATTGCCGGGACAGAACATGGATCGAAGAATATTCCAGGTGTACCTAGGGAAATCCAAAATCCTAAACCATTACTGAACTTATATAATTTTTGGTTTGCATTAGAAAAATGTCTTATAAAACATTTTTTCGACTTTTGACAGCACATCCCCCTCGGAAACTGGACTATAACCGAAGGTCATTCGAGATTAGGTCTCAAATTTCGCTTCTCTGTTCAAGGCGGGAAGTTGGAAAAAATTATCACGGTTGGTGTCATTTTGAAGGCGTCAAAATCAATAAACTTGCATGAGTATGTATTTGTTTTCGGGTTTTTCTGTGATCATCAGGTACATGAAAAAGATGTCATTGGCATTGCGCTTGGAGTTTATAAGATGAAAAAAACTAAATATAAAAGCTTGATCGAGTAATATTGAGCAATGTTCAATCGACAAACCATTGAATGTAATTTAAAATCAAAATAATCTCTCCAGAGTGTGAGTCAACTTCACTCACCAAATGAAATTCCAGCTTCCAAGTTTCTGGGCCACATTTTCAAAATATTAAAATCTAGAATTAGGGCCATGAAATGGATGCAAAAAACCAGGAAGCGGCTTTCATTTCCCTAAAATCTGAATTCTGAAAATATTTTGTCGATAATAGAGCTGATTTAAATCGAAACATGAAGGGAAAAAACTCACCATATTCCAGCTTCTTTCTTCAAGACCCACACATCATCAAGATCCCCATACAGTATTTTTACTCTAGGAGATCGGAAGTCGTCCGACGAAATCGGTCCACGTCTGGCAATTCTTCGAACCCGCAAAACTCGGCATATGATTTCCCACAAGTCCGAACCTTGATCCACGTAATGATTCAAATTTTGAACACGAAGCGCTCCTCAACTGAAGCTCACCATATGCATCCCAAATGTCACTCGTGAATGCGGTCACCGGTAATAACGCTAGGTCACCATGCTTTTCCCACCTTTTCGGAATTTCTGAATGCTCTATCTCATCCGAGGATACGCCGTATTTCAAATTAAGAAGTTCTGTGATTTCACGATGCAGTTGCTCTTGCGGCCGAACTGCACGCACGCGGGTCATGTTCCTAAAATTATTTGCAAACGAAGAAATCTCAGGATTCTTCAAACCCAAGTATGAAATTCACAAAAGCTTTCGATTCCGGCGAACAATTCATTTCTTGTACGAAATATCAAGTTACATACGATAAAACAAGACAAGAAAAGCACAGAACACGTTCACTGCAAAAAGTGACACTGATTTCAAGGCTTCCATAATTTCAGGAGACCATCCAGAGAAAACGTTGCAACGAGGTTGTGATGCGGGTGATGGGCAATGCCAATGACATCTTTTTCATGTACCTGATGATCACAGAAAAACCCGAAAACAAATACATACTCATGCAAGTTCATTGATTTTGACGCCTTCAAAATGACACCAACCGTGAGTGTTTTTTCCAACTTCCCGCTTTGAACAGAGAAGCAGTACAGCACTTTATCTTCACCCACGCAGTAAATCCAGTCGCCACGTGGGCTTAGGGTGCACGTGACGAAGTCTCCTCCTTCTCTCTTACCACTGCTGAAGGACTTGACAAACTGCAAGAATCAGCGGAAAATTCGTAATTCAGAGAAGCCCAAGCAAAAGAAAATGATGACTTCTACTTCGTGAAAAAAAATGCGAGGCAAACAAAATCAAGAACGATCAGAACCGATTTCCGCGAATAAAAATCGCAGAAAAACGAGGCTTCCGGAACGATTATCATGGAAACCCATAGTTAATTCTTCTTCAGTTAAAAACTACTGTACGCATTCCTCCTCACTCGTATCATTAGCTAACTTCCCTAAAATTTACTTACGCGTGAAAAAAACTAATATTTGGGGTCCAAAAAATTCATTTAAAAATAATACCCAACAAAGCCAACACAATTTACGCAGCAGTAGCTTACAGAGAACTAAAGCGATACTTTTACGTGTCAGTACGATTTTTCAACTTCTTTCTTACTTGTCCAGCCATGTTCATGATTACAACATCAGAAGATCTAGAACACACAACGAAGTGTTCAGGGTTTTTCGGTAGTGGGTGAATGCTGTTGACCGAAACTTCTCCACCCATTGAACCCGCAATCGATGCTCCTCCGCCAACAGATCCACCTGGAAATCAAGAATCTTCCATGAAAAATTCTCCGCGTTTATAATAAAAAATGATCAAATTCGAAGAGATCAACGAAAAATGCCAACAATCGAAAACGTCCTCTTGGCTAACCTGCAAGAGGCCTGAACGTGCTGAGACATTCGGTTGTCTTTGTATTCCATATTTTCACTGTTCCGTCCGATGAAGCACTGATGATGCAGTGACCATCGTGATTGTAAGCAACACAGTTGACGAACGACTGGTGACCTCGAAACTCTTTCAAAGTTTTACCACTTTTCAATCCATGGATCCTAGAAGATTAAATGAGGGACGTGATATTATATTTTAATGCAATGGATCATTCGCAAACGCACCTTATGGAATAATCAAAAGACGCAGACAACAGCTGCGACGAATCTTTGGAAAACGTCAGTGACATCACTCCCTTCGAGTGTGCTTTCTCGAAGCGCCGCAAACATTGGCCAGTTGATACTTTCCAAACTTTGATTTTACCTTCCATCGAACCTGTACATTATGAATTATTTTTAAATTGTTACACTGAAACCAGCGGATGATCAGGCAACATCTACCATAGATCTTTCCATTTAATAAATGCGAAGTAGTGAAACGGACTGACCTGTCGCGAGCATCTCCGAGTCACGACTGAATCCCAGACTCAGAACAGCAGATTCCATCATGATGAAGTTCTCCTGGGCTTGGTATCGAAGATCTTTTCGAATTTTTCCAGTCTGAAAGTTCCATAATTCAACGACTCCATCGCGGGAACCCGTGGCCAGGTATTGTCCGTCAGGTGAAAACTGAGCACACTCCGGGTGAGATTGGGTTCCAAATTTGATCTGCTTACTCATCTGCGTTGGACACGTTTCATCTTCAACTTCTCTCACGGCAGCCTTGCCACGAAACAAATCGATCGTCGACCCTGACAAGGAAATTCGAAAGGATATACACGTGACTTCGCAACACCGTCGTTTAATAGGTGAGCAATGGTTACTGCTGAAATTTTCAAGGTTTAGCTTCATAAGAGAAGAAAATTAACTTCAAACATCGCTTTCGCACAAGCACACTTGCCTTTTTGCATAGCTGCATAACAATCGACTCAATCATACATTTCTAGAAGTAGGAATCCTTGATAAGTTTCGGGAAGTACGAAAGTCGCGTCGCCTTTTAGTTACATTGCTAGGGAAAAGAAGTTTGAAACATTTTCTCCGATTAATTTAGCAGGAAATCAGCCTGAAAATAGGTTATCACCTCTTGGCCTGACGGGAAGTGAGGGGAAACTCAACAAGCCAAAGGCATAAACAGCTCGAAAGAAATTTCGTACACGAAAAACGAGACTAACCAGGTGGTAGAAGACCCTGATGCTGCTGCCACTTCAATGCTTGTCCGAGCAAGGCTAGTAACCTCGAGGGGGGCACCACAGAAACTTCACCACTCAAGGATTGAGCGATGGCAGCGCGTCGCTTCTCCTTCGAAGTTCCATCTGGATATGCTTCTCTTGGGTCGAAATACGATCTCGCCAAAATGTTCTCTACGTGAACAACCGTGAATAATTTGAATATTCTATTCTATAATTTGTGTATTCTATTTCGGGGGACACTTCCGGAATGCGTTTACAAACACTTTATTCTATCGATGCAAGCATTTTAGAAAACTCAGCAACTATTTTCGAAGACTAGCCTATTCCAGACTTCTCTGAATGATGACATGATAAGTCCACCTCAGAATATAGCTAAGGTGACCTGGAAATCACAACTCAAGTTGAAGCTGAATGAGTAGAACCTCTGTAAGGAGAATTCTTTCAAGCTACTCTCAAAATTCCCTATAAAAAATGCATTAAAAACCTTTTTAACTCAAAGGCTTCCCCTGAAACCTTCGTAACTCAAATTTTCGGGAGGCCTTTGGGTAATACAGTATTTTATTGACACAGAAAAGAGAAAAGCAAAAAATATGTAACTTGATTTATTTTGAAAGAAAGGAAAAGACTAATTGGGCAAATGAACCCTTGCATTCAAGTTCAGTATCCTGTCAACTCCTTTAAGCAGCAATTTAATGCCCAGAATATCACAGATTGCAATTTCCAATAATTCTTCTTATTTCCCCCATAAAAAAATGCTTGCTTCCTCAACTCCAAACCTCTCCAGCTCGAATTGTTTTGATCTCTAGAAGTTCGACTATACTTTGAATCCGATGAAGAAAAGCGCCATTGACATCAATTTTAATTACCAAGATGGTCGTATCTGCCTCGTTCCTGCATTTTCATCATGATCATTGGATCCGTCTGACGCAATAGAGATCTTGCAGCTCCCAACTCTCGCAGTTCTATCAATTCTAGCACGATCTAAAAAAGACACACACTTCAGAATCTAGACCTAAAAAGCGAACTTGACTAAAACCTACCTGCTCATAGAGATCAATGAGTTTCTTATCCGGCAGTTTTAAAGACTGAACAGCCTTCAGCACCGCATCCCAATGTCCGGCATTGATGTCATTCGTGAAACTTTCCACACTGTCGACAGTGTTCAGCGAAATCGTCGTTTCTTCCTATAAAAGAAATACAGGCATTGCGACACAACCAGGCATGAAGGATACTGATGTTGAAGACATACCTGCAATGTTTTCAAGGTCCTTTGCAGATTGTTTTCCTTCAAGTACTGTTCAATCAACCGAACGACACTAAGAAAAACGATGGATAAATTCAAAAGGAGGAAAATAGCAACAAACGATGAAACTCACTCGGATGATTCTATTTCCAAGGACATATTGGGAACGTACACGAACTCCTATTTGCTCACACCATCTCATTTGCGAAATCTGTAAAATTGACTCATCAATGAATCAAGCGGCATCACGTTGAAAGCTTGTACATTCAATGGAAATAAATGCATTACAATGATTTGTTCTAAGGGTCAGCCTTTATTCACGAACAACACGAAAATGTTTGTCGAGCGCAAGTGTGTCCACCCTGGGCATAACGCAGCTCGCTAGGACACGGAAACTTCTCGCAAATTTTAGAAAACAAAAGAACTTAAGAGCAGAAGACAAAACGTGCAAGAACGGGTCGCTTCCTGCTTCAGCGAGACGTCATCGTGTCGCTAACGCCTCTGGATAAACTTACCTCGTGTGCTACAAATAATTACGAAACGGGAAAATGACCAGCAAAACCGGGCCTTTGTTTCCTTCAACAACAATAAGCCTCGGAGAACCAGGAGAACAGCTGGGGTAAGAAAAAACTACTTACCCACGTGTAGAACCAGAAATTTCTGGAAAATTTGTCTGAAAACATAGAAGTCCAGCATTAACACACAGAGTGGTGAAGAGATAAATCTCGGACCAGCACTCGCAGGCAACGGAACCCCGATGGATATTTAGCCAAGAACGAAATACACTCGTCGAAATTTGTCGTAACCCTTCTGCATCCGCGTCCAATAACTCAAGCTCCAACAAATCCTCCGCAACCAGAATTGAAGAATGCTGGTGGACGATGTTGGTTGAACGTTCGAAATAGGTAGGAAACCGCGAGCAAGTCACGCGATTCACTCGCACGTTCACTCATTAGGATTCGTAGCAAAAAATCAAAACGGGCTCGAGGCGATGCAGAAACGATGCCATATTAAGGATATCTTCGTGCTCGCCCGCCGCGGAATCTGTTCCTTCCTGGACTCCGACTCAAACTCCTACTGCGGCTTCCACGACGACGCTCCTTGTCGAGCTTTTCCATCTCTGTGATTCGTCGTTGACGTTCCAACACTCTTTGCCTGCGCTCTTCTTCTTTTTGCGCGATCTGTCAACAGTCATGCGATTTTGTTTTGATTTCGATCATACCAAGAATAGTAGATGAAAAAAAAAAATTTTCTCAGTGAAGTTACGCTCAAGTTTTGAGGGCTCTCATCATATGTTGACCGCGGACGCGTCTTAGAATAGTGTTAGACCACCTTTTTTGCTTGTGGACCGGAAAATTTCAATAAAATATTTTGCAGACCGGCAAATTGTCATAACATTTTCTGCTGACTGGCAAAGTTCCATACAATTTTTGAAGACCAGGAATTTTTTTTCAAATACCTGCCGTGGAGTCCTCAAAGCAAAACTTGTATTGCAAAAATTAAGTAAATAACTGATAAGCGGCTCTATATATTGGAATGTCTTGAAAAAAAATAGAAACCTGAGCTTTCAGAAAGGCTTCTCAGATTTAAAACTGAAAATAATACATTTCAGACAAGCGAAGACATGTCTGAAGGGCAAATTGTAATACAGTACAAAGAAAAGCTAACATACTTTTTCTCAGTTAATTTCAACTGCCATTTCTTCCGGAACTTCGGATAATTAAGGATAAAATGCTTTATTACTACCTTCTATAAATTTAGAAATTTTCCCACGGACCGGCAAAAAAATTCTGCGGTCCGCGGACCACGGGTTGGGGAACACCGTCTTAGATTACGAGATTTCGTGGAGCAAGAAAGATGCACAGGATTTCATACTAGAGCTTCCACGGAACAACTCAGTAAAGTTCATACATATGCTTACTGACATTTCATATGCATTATATAATGTAGCAGAAACGCGGTTTCCGAATATAAAAAGACTGATGAAAAACCAACGCTTTACCTGAAAATCCGCCTTTAATCCGATGATTTAAACCTTCTAGGCATCTAGGTCACACAAAAAATATCAAAATATCTTAATTACTTTGCACGCATGCGACGTAGCTACGCGATTTCTCTTCACCTCAAGAACCACGAAAATTAAATCCAGTTCAGAAGCATGCTGCTCTAATTTCACTCAGTTTGTCCGCAGTAAGAAAAGGAATCCCCGCAATTTTGAAGGATAAATACTCATAATTCAAAACGAAACTGAGAGTGGAACTGACCTGCTCTTCAGTCAACGGCAACCAATAGATGCAAGGGGTCGTCTTAGTTTTGCGAAAAAGATCATCGAGCAATTTCGCCGGAGATTTGGCTTTCTCGCGATCTCGACGATCATCCACTGCAAAATGACGATCATAGAGCGTGAAAATTCGATGATGAATTCAGAGAAGACATGCAAAAGTTTTCTCTAAAAAAAAAAACGAGTTAAAGCCTCACTTCTAGCTCGAGCCACTTCTTCTTCACGAATCCGTTCACGTCGACGATTCTCCCGCTCTCTTTCTTTCGCTCCTGGAGAGCGTTCTCCCATTTTTGCGCGATCCCATTCTCTCAAACTTGCATCTGGAGACCTCGAAGACCTCCTCTGAAGAAATAAATGAAAAAAGAAAGGCATGTCAAACAAAGCCGGACAACCGAACACATTAAAATGATTCCACTTCAATACTTCAGACTAACCAAATCAAAACGAAAAAAAAAGTCAGCATTGGGTCAAAACTTACCCGATCATCAATTCTTCGCATACGACCACCGTCAGCACTTCGACTTCTTCGTTTCCTCTCAGTGCTGTCGAAACGCAACGGAGATCGTTTACGGTCGCGTTCGCGATCGTTTTCCTTACCAAACTCGCCATCTGCGCCACCATGCTCATCACCTCCACCACTTCGTACAGCCCTTGCTGACGCAGCGAGCTGCTCTTCTTCGTCCTTCAACAAATGCTCCTTTAGCTCTTCCTCCGAAGAAAAATCAACACGAAGAACTTTGTTGTTTGAAACTGGCCACTTCACGCCATGCAATGCCAGGCGGGTTTCGATGGCTTGTTCTTCTGTCTCGTACTAAAAAAGATTAACGGAAAAAAGCGACCGTCAAATAATGTGCCACAGAACCCCCATCTTCTGAAATTCTTCATTAGGTGTAACAAAATTTCAATTTATCCGGGCGCTGACGAAGAGAGAGGAAAAAGTACAGCCTTACCACGTTTGAATCAATTACATTAGATTAGATACTGAATCAGATAGAATGTCAGTAATATTGGTACTGATGGTTATGCTTCTCTTTCCCGGCAACCAAAATCTTTTTGATCGATTCCCCGTGATACATGATCATTCGAAAAATGCCGAAGAGTTATTCTGAATATTAAAAAAAGTATTTCAAGCTTTCCAACTCATGAACACTTCAATAGAATCGCTAAGTTTGAAAAATAAGTACCCCATCAAAATAATCTACAGACATGAATACCTCTACTCGTCAACAGAAAAAGCGTTAAGACACAAAAGAAAGAACTGGGAATCCACTTACGCAAGCAATGCACTGAGATTTGATCTTATCCGTCCAGAATAGTCCCGGTTCCAAAGAACCAGTGCGACACAACAGTTCCTTCAGTTGGTTGATGGTGTAAGGACGCATTAGATTTTTAATGTGAATAACCCTATTCGGAGGATTGCGGGCCGGTGTTACCGCACGCGGGCCACGCGGTGGGATTCCTGAATCCGTAATGTCATTCTTGACAGTAACCCGTCTCGGCGCTTCAACATCATGATCTGGGACAAAAAAGAAAATCGCAACAATCAGAACATGATCGACTCTTCATCCTAGGCAAAAAGATAAAACATGACCGCATTGGAGTTTTAACAATAATTTCAGAGCATTGAAAGGATTCAACGCATTCATTCGGACTGAAATCATCGATTCCGAAGTGGGAGACAAGAAATGTATCCGGAATCAGGGTGATTCACGCGCAACTATACCGAATTCAAACCGAAGAAAGGTGAAGAGTCCTGAATCATTTCAACACTATATCAAGAGGTATTCGACGCCAGGGAGGAAATGTACCACTTCAGCTAGTAATTATCTTATGAATTTAGAATTCCAAAGCGATTCTTTTATTAATCGAAGATACGACAGATAGACCAGAATATTGTAGTTTTCTTGATGATGCACCAATCTAACTCATTTTGGCTGAAAGAATCGTTAACCAGATGATGCCAATATTTTCTTTTCACATTGTTCCACATTCCTTCGAGAACACTTGCACACATTCAAAACTCCCTGTGATGCAATACAGCCTGCGACGCATGAATGATGAAAAACGAATTCATACCTGCTGATATTTTCAGTTTTAATTCCCGCGAGGTAACCTTGGCGCCTCTTTCGTCCATTTCCTCGTCACCCTGCTCGTCAACACTCTTTGCAGTGGTAGAAACTTTGCGGACCTTGCGAGTGCGCGACACTTCCTCGTCGCTTTCATCTCCACTTTTCTCTTCCTCCGCTTCTTCCTCTTCTTCTTTCCTCGCACGGCGTTTTCTCGGAGACGTTGCTTCTTCGTGATGAACTTCCTCCTCCTGCTTGTCTTCATCCTCTTCTTCCTTCGCGGGCTCTGGACTCACCAAAGTCTACATCAATCCAAAACAAAACAATAAAAAAAGTCTTTGCGAACGATTTTTTTCTAACGTGAAGACTTACCCTCAACGTATTCATAGAAATCTCAAACGATCCCTTCCTTGTAGTGATGCCCGATGATCCCCATCCTCTTCTCTTCTCTGTGAACATTCAACGAAAACATCAGCATTCCAATCGATCGATCATTTATTCAATTAATACAAAAAACTGCTAGGCTTACTTCCATGGTCCTGTGAGTTGTCCTGTGCTTCTTCCTTGTCCACGCTGTCCTCCTCTGTCTGGATTGAAGGAAAAAAAAATCACGCATATAAATCCAAATCTTCACCATAGAAGATCTCAAAAATAAAGAATCAAGATCGACTTCACACGAAAATGCAAGCGAAACTTACAGCAGGCGCTTTGCGCTTCAACTGCAACTTGCGACGAGCTGGCTTCGGCTTTGATGCATCAGCTACTTGAGAAACGGTCTCCGTCTCAGCAGAGGCGGAAACCTCAGGATTCCTAGATTCGAATTGATCGTCATCGAAAAAGCAGAAGTGGATGAAACGGGAAGAAAAAATTACTCACGAGGTTGGCTCGTCGGATTTACTAAGGCGCTCAGGCGATTTCGCCCGTTCTTTAGGAGGACTTTTCTTCGGAGGGCTTATCCTGGTGCGCTCTTCCTTCCGTCTGAAAGGAATTCAACAGTTGAGATTTGAATTACGTTTCGTAAATGCTTTCAATGAATGATTTCACAATAGAGAATTTGAAATTAGAGACAGAGGGGGATAATTAATTTTCTTACAGCTTCGGCGGCGATGCTCGCTTGACTTCCAGCTTCCTGCGTTCAATCCTGTGATGTGAGCGCTCTTTCTCTTCATCCCTAAAATTAATATTTCATTCATAAACTCAACGATGACTGACTGATTGAACAGGAGAATGGATCACAATATAAACTGTAACATCTCGATTAGGACTGGAAGAAATCTGTACTAACTTCTTCGAAGTAGTTGAGTCTTCATCCGCGCGCTCCTGCTTCCCATGTTCAACAATCTTCTTACTAAAAATTTATAATTAAAATAATATTCAGATATATAATCTACTTTATTTAATTTCGACGATGAAGACTCACTCATCATCGGAAGCCCTCGGGGCAATCGGCTTGCGATGTTCTTCGTGCGATCTAGGTGTACGATGGGAATCTTCAGATCTGAGAGAAAAATCAGAATGAGGCTTTCCGATTGATTTTGATTTAAATTGTATTCTTACACATCCCGAACACTTGAGCGGCTTTCAGAAGATCTCTTCAACTTTATTTTTCGGCTTTCCTCTGCGCGTCGTTCCGGCATTTTCACAATGATGGAGGCTCCTTCTTTCGTTTTATACCGGCGTTCTTTCGATGAATCGTCAGATGATTTTTCACTAGACTCCTCACTTTTCGCCGGTTCTTTCGTCCCCTCAGGTTTCACTACCTTGGATGACTCCACTTCTTCGGTGCGAGAAGCATCCGACTTTTCCACCTTCTCGATCGATTCCTCCAAAACTGGCTCCTTTGTTTTCTTCACATCTGCTTCAACTTTGGAAGGTTTCACAATAACGGCAGACGAATGTGTGTCGATTTCCTTGGGAGTTGGCGCTTTTACGGCAGCAGCGGTAGCAACCGATTCACCCGGGCTTTCCAAGGTTTCCTTTGTCGATTGCACAGAAGCAACTTCGATTTTCGAAGTTGGAAGTTCTAAATCTGGCACTTTTTCTTTCACTAGCGAAATCACCTCAACAGGATCTTCTGTTGGTACAACTTTAGCAGCTTTTTCCGTCGCTTCCGCAGAATCAGTGCTGCCTGATGAGGTCGCGAGATCCTGAAACAAGTACCCGAAATATAAGATAAAAGAGACGTACTTCAACGCGTTGTAAATTTTCGTTATTCCCTTTTGCATGCGGCTCATTGTAACTTCCTTGGATGCAAATATTTTAGCTTGCACAATTTTTTTTACGGTATCTTCGGGCAATTAAATCTAATCCAAGTACTGTACTGCATTTGTAGATGCATTTTTCTTCGTCTAACTAGTATTAAGAAAAGATTTCGAGCTTGTAACTGTAACACAGTTCTATGAGCATACTGTTTTGAATTCATTGTTGCATGTCACTCTCAAAAGACACGTAAGTTTTCACGGAGTATTAACCTCAAGCGATACTCACTTTTTTTGAATCCGACAGCGTTGCAGATTTATCTTTTTCTAATGAGGGATAAGTTTTCGGCATTATAACAGGCTCGACAATAGGCTGTTCTTCGATATCATTGCTAGCTGGTTTTTCGCCATTAGGAGGGTTCAATTTTTCATCAATCCTTTGCCCAGATTCCTCTCTTCCACTGCTGTGACCGCTGCTATCTCGCTCCCTCCTTTTACGTTCTTTTTCTTCTCTGCGTTTCTCTTTACGTTCTCGCTTTTCTTCTTTCGAGATGTCATCATCGTGTTCTTTCTCGCGACGTTTCTTGTGCTTGTGTTTGCGTTTCGACGACGAATTCGAATCATCGTCGTCATCTTCGTCGGATTCTTCAGTGGCAGTCGAAAGAATAGCTTCTGGCTCCTGAGCAGGACTTGAGACGGAAAAACGGCCCTTCAGGGATAGTTTAGGCACAAGGGGAGTATTCGCCTTTTCTGGTGTATCGTCTTCCTCTTCGTCAGCTCCGCGACGCCGTGAACTACGTCGGCGAGGGGAATCAACTTCCTAGAATGAAAATAAACACTGAAATACGATGACAACGCAGAGGCTTTAAAGGGAACTAACCATTGGATCATCAAGGCCAATCTCTCCTCGTCTCGAACGCCTCCGTTCCATCCCTGGAGTGGGTCCTGCAAGCATGATAGATTTTGGCGGACCAATACAATTTTAAAAACGAAAAAATATTTACCATCATCCGTGGAGTCATGGCCTGTGTCAGACTGAAGACCTGAAGTCGGCTCTGGCTCCTGCATTTTGAGAGGCGAGAACGTGAGACAAAACTTAAGTAAACGCAAGGAAGAACTTACCGTTATACCAATGCTCTCCTCAACAGAATCGCGACACGAACCATCTTGTGACATCACGAACTGCAAAGAAACCGTACACATGATGAGAATTGAAACGAATCGTCATCAACGGTTTAACTTACGGATGATAATCTTGCCGCTAGCTCCTTCTTCGTGCCCGTCTTTGATAAACCGTGCTTATCCAGAATTGACCGAAGATCCACAACTCGGTACGAAGCGATCGGAGTTCCTTCATACGAAAGGTTGTCATCGTGGTCCGACATTATGTAGGTTTTCCTGAACCCTCAGACCACTTCACTTTCTGTATTACCAACTTCCGTCAATGTGTGCGCCTGCTCACCGTTAGGCAGTTATTCACCGCTAACGAACTATCACAGAAAATAGAAGATCCGTAATGATGTCAGATTGTTGACGCAAAGGACGGCCTGTCAAACGCGTCTCCCAAGCCCGAACTAATTCATTCCGATCATAAAAGACAAATTCATCACGACGTCTACGTTTCACACCGAACACGATAACTGCCGGTGAATAGTGGACGAACAAGCGGGTAGTGTCACAGTGTGATAAATTCAAATGCCCTATTACACCACGACATCTATTCCAACAACGTCATAACCGCCAGGAAAATTAATTCCATGACCTTAGGCCACCGGGAAAATGTCCAGTGACCCATTGTCGCTCTTCCGGTTTTTCCTCTTCAGTTGTTTGCCGGATCTTTGCAGCGCCTGCTCCTTATTCTTGAGCCAGTTGAACGGTGAGTCTGACTTTGAACCGCTATACAATAGATGTCGTTATCCGTGCTATTTACTGCAAGGCGGAGGTTTTCCTCTTCTCATTTCCCCATCACATATGAATTGCAGTATTGCTGTACCATAGCATTTTATTTTATGTCATGTACTCTCCTGGGTACCGTTATTCCCACGCTTGGCATGTGATTATTTTTGTTGAACCTGTCGGAAAGTTGACAATATTTTTCTGCTGGATGGAAACAGAAATGCTGCTGGTCAGTGTTAGTCTACATAAAATGACTTGAATTAAATCTCAGCAGCAAATACGGTAAATAAACAGAAGGAATCATGTACAGAAAAATGCTGCAATAATTCCAAAATAAAACAGGGGGCAACTTCTCCATTTACACCATAAAATGAGGAAAATATAAAATTATGATTCCAAAAATCATGAAGATGCAAGTAAGCAGTGATATGAAACATGTTTCCCCTACTTATTGAAAACTTGTACTGTACAGTACTACCAGTTGACCAGCGAGTATATATATTTTCTCGGGCATTTAATTCAGATAGAAAAAAAAATCAGAACAGACAGCATCAAGGTAATAAAGGGTGGGGATAGCTATTCTCCAGCATGTAACTACAGTAACTACACAATCAGTGTGCACTGTTGGGCTCACAACTGGGGTACAAAAGATACTCTGGGGGTTAAAATTGTGCCCTTGTGTATAGATACAATTTTGCTACCATTCCTGCATGGGTTACATCTGGTATACTGCTCATATACTGTATACATTTGCTGGTGCACATGTGGTGCATACATGATCTGCATGCAGGGTTACATCAGATGCATCATGTATGTTGCAGATGTATGTCATGTGCATGTAAACACACAGCCAGTGCAAATTCGGGATACAGTACACATGCATAATATAGTACAGTAAAAGGAAAACCTTTGATGCACAGCAGTGTCACCTTGCAGGATTACATGTGTAGTCCAAGTATGCACAAATTTCTGCTGCACTTGGGCACAACACATATATGCTGATAATATACTGTAATTGAAACAATGAATTGAGTAAATTCCACCTTTTTTGTACATACTGTATCTCCATCAGATTATGATGGAAAATAATCAAGACATTTTCAAAATTATTGAACAAACCTGAGCACATGCATGCTGAATATCAAAAATAAAGAACACAAGAAGCCTTTATTAAGGACAAAGTAGTTCACTTTATTCAGCGTTCATATAACCACCCTAAAATCGTGGTAGAAAATGGTAACATTTTCATTTAGTAGCAAATCATTCAAGACCAGCCTTAATTCCCTAATTCGAACGGTTGACATTCGGAAAAAATAAGACATTGGATTTCTTCCACAAGAGAAAATGCGAATTTCTGAGCAAAAGATCACGCTATTCTTTAGTAATAAGAAAAGCAAAAAAACGCGTATAAAAATATGTTTACCGAGCTCAATTCACACGCGAAGAAAAAGCGGGAGACGCACAGCTTAAGCACATCAATTCAAAACCATCAAGTTGACTAGAACTTTCTTTGAAGAAAGTCAATCAAGAATCCATTCGACAGCAAAAAAAAAAGTGTCTCAAGATTCTTTCAACAACTGCATGCTAGAGCGGATATCCTTCGATCCTTTGACGTTGAATATCTGAAACTTCAGCAAAAAGATTCTCAAATGTTCAAACCGAACAGAGAGAATCGCAACACTTTTTTTTACGCTCACACGCGAAAGTAAAAATTAAAATCACGCCGTTTTCGAAACTTTCCGACTTGTTTTGAGCGCAACAGGAGTCGGCAAAGATTTTTGGCAAAAGTTGGACGAAAAATCAGACTCGTATACAGCCCCAATGCTTCATGCAACAACAGCGTACAAGATTGTGATTAATTCCAAGAATATAAGGAAGCCCACCGTTTTTTTCAAACAAAAAAATCCAATAACTTTGCAATTGTCATGCAAACTCGCGCGACGTTCCAAAACAAAACAAAATATAGACCACTTCATTTTGAACATCGCGTACGTCCTACAAAAAAATAAAATCACACGCAACAGTTCTCTTTGCGAACTTCACGATTCCTCAGCCGATTGAATATTTTTTCCTGGGAAACCAAGTAAGGAACATCCGGGTTTCCTTTGTGACGAAATCCCGCGTTTCCCAACAGCAACAAACAATCTGAGCAGACGCTGTTTTTTCCTCGTGTGGAAAACGTAGTTGTTTGTTCGTTTACTTCTTGATCTTTGTGTATTTTTTTTGGCATTCAGCAAGAAGGGACACAGCATGAGCACAAGGCTATGTGACGTTTTCGACTATCCATTGCCGGAACTTGGATATCCGGGTACAAACCCCCGGCAGGTTCGGCTCTGCGCATCCGATACCCCAGCTGATGATTCCAGCTAAAAACATGCGCCCGTCTTTGCCCTTCACTTGCAGAGGACCTCCAGAATCTCCCTGCAAAAAAAATCATATTGGATTAAGTGATCGAGTTAAAAATTGCACATGGAAAAACTAGGCTTATTCAATAAAGTTCGAACATTATTATACAGTCGCGTCTCTTTGAGTCGAATTTCAAGGGACCAGCAAAAATATTCGAGTTGGGGATTTGCGCTGGGTTAGGAAATTATGAAAATTGACTCTAAGCAAGAAACTGATTTGTATACTTCAGAAAAAATTTCTCGATTAAGTTCATCCCTCCAATATGAGTACAGTACAGTACTGTATTTTCAATGAATGTATACAAATATACAAAGGGAAAATTATTCCTCTTACAGAAGAAAAAATTCCAATTCAAAAAAGCTTGAAAAAATCAATCATCTCAAACCGAAAAAATTCTCCATTTTGTAATCATTGAAAACTATGAAAAGACGGTATTTTTTACTTCTAATCCCAACTTTACTTCGGAGATTTTTCTTTTTTTTTGTAACTGAAATACGAAAACTGAAAGAATATTACAGAAGCTCGCGTTAGACGGAATGATATTAGAAAAAAAATCATGCGACATCTGTACTGTATCATTAGAAATAAAATTCCTGAGTTCGGGACATCGGCCTAAAATTGAAAACCGACGAAGTCATTAAGTATTCACAACCCATAGATAAGAACATTTCGCCGACAAAAATAATGCAAGATCATGAAAAGGCGGAATTTAACTTCACCAGAAAACTATTCAACTTATTTATACAGTATTTGAATGAATTTCTTTTCTTTAAGGTGCGAAAATTCAGGGATGCCAAAAAATATTTTAGAACGAACCTGGCAAGAATCACGGCCACCTTTCTCATACCCAGCACATAGGAATATGTCTGGTATGAACTCATGTCTTCCAGACGAAAGAAACATGTCCTTGCATCTTTCGTTGCTGACTATTGGCACCTGGACCTGAAAAAGAGACGCAAACCTTTCAAAACAACGTACCCTTCAGTGATTTAATTTTGCTGTTCATAAACAAAAGCGAAGCCAGACTAGACATACAGTACTTTACAAAATCCTTCCGAAATGCAGCTCATGATGATGAAAGCAAATATTACCCAACTTCAGCAGTCAGACATGAGCCATAATATTCGGGCAACAATCCGCAATCTATTTCGTAATACTCCCGAATCACCAATTTTGTGTACATAATCAATGTTTTAATTCAAGAGCAGCAATCCGTTGAGTCACACGGAAACAATCACGAATCTTACTGGAATAATTTGAAATTCCTCATTATTTAATTATCGTCGCTGAAGCTTCCCAAAAATCAATAACTACTGTACTTGAAAAAGCAAGCAAATATAAAATAATGTATTATCAGAGCATTATAAAAAAAATATTCTTGTCTTATTGTAATAAAGTATCTTTATTTTCAATCCGAAAAATACGTTTCCGATCGAGGTTCATCATTTGTGGAAATTCAGCTTAACGAAAGCAATAATGCTTCACTGAAGTACAATATTTTCACCAAACTTTGAGAAGGCTTAATTACAATCATATTCAAATCTAAATTTTTTTGGAATATTGATTCAGCAAGCAATCGTAAAAAATCAAACTTGAGCAAAAATTCTCTCTTTTTAACTTTCAGCGTCCTCAGCAATTTTTTTTTGAATTTTAAACTAAAACTATCGCGTTTGGAAGAATACACTACTGCATACACTCCCGAAAATCACAATCGATCGCTGGGAAAAGGCTCTAGCTTTATTTGCAAACAATCAACCGAAAATTTTAAATTTATCCTGATTATTTCCCTGATTTATATGTGAACATTATTGATAAAAAAAAACTGAAATTTTCCTTTCCTACTCATACCCACACTCATTGGAATTATTTAGCAGTCATTTTGATTGCAACGCACATGATACATTCAAACATTTTTGTCTGAATTCGTCCTAAACATTTTTCGATAGAATAATCTTCTTGCTTGTGAGAGCTCGATCGAGTCATGGAAAATCCCCGTAGAGAGGCTAACCCGAGATCAAATTAGAGACACAATACACGAATTGCAAGACCAGATAATTACAATAATATTTCGAAAGACCCGGCCAACCATCAGGACCACAAAATACAGTCGCAAACCCGGATTAAACGGAATCTCGGCACAACATTTAACGGGAATCTCCGACCATTTCTCTCGCTGGGGGATTTCCGGTTGAACAACGAAAAGTTGCGCAACTTTTGTTTTCCGTAATCCGGGTTCGAATCACGCGAGGGCTCAGCCAAAATGTTTGCTCAATTCTTCTTTGATGCACGTGTATAATTTGAGACATTCGGAAGATCATATCGTTTTGACCGATTCCCGGCGATGCGGTGATGATATAAAAGTTATTCATGCATGTCAAAAATAAATTAATGAATACCTGATTGATTTGTTAATGCTAAAATATTAAAATTCCATCTGATTTCGAGTGTCGTTAAACATTTATTCCACTTCATAGCAGTGGAACAAGACAGAATAAATTAATACACAAATTAAATTTATCACGCGGAAAATTTCCGATTGAAATTTAGCACTTGTATTTTTCTACAAGGCTTTGATTTCTTTGTTCATATTTTGATGGAAAAGAAAAGAAGCTTCTTTCAAGAAATTACAGTATAAAAAAAAAAAACACTCAGAATTCAAGACATTAACAAGCAGTTGGAAATTCGAGATGGACTCGTGCTTCGTTCAAAGCGTCTTTGAAAATTTGCACACAAAGATAGGGACCAGTGGGTCTTGACAACTCTTTACTTGGTCATATTTTAAGAAATAGATTATACTTTTTTACACCAATAAAAAAAAAAACTCGACAGTGGGAGCAAAAACAAAAATCTCACCGAAGTGAGGCAATCTTCGTCTTCAGTTTTGATCTTTTCTTTCATATTTTGACGGAAAAGAAAAGAAGCTTCCTTCCAAAAATTATACCTTAAAAAAAAAACTCAGCATTCGAGTCCTCAAAAATAAGCAGATGAAAATTTGAGATGAACTCGTGCTTCGTTCCACGTGTCTGAAAATTTCAGCCGCTCTTCGAAAATTGCACACAAAAATAGTGAGCATTGTGTCTCGAGTTCTTGACTCGGTCAAATTTTAAGAAGAGGATTTTACTTTTACAACAACAACGCCAATCTTGACAGTGGGCTGAAACAAAAATCTCGCTGAAGTGAGGCAATTTCCATCTTTTCGGGCGTGGTTCCGAGAAGCGTTCAGGCAAGCGTTGCTTGCGGAGAGCGCATCACAAATTCACACCTCCCGGAAACCAGCTCAAAACTTTCAAAAAATATATAACACAGGGCGTGGTTCTCGTTCTTCTTCTTCTGCTTTGAAACGCTGACTCTTGAACATTACGCAAAACGAATAATTCAAAAAAATCTGTATCTACTTTCCTTTCCCTTGTATTGTACACGCTGTTGCGCATGGAAAGTTATTACTACAGCATAGCATAGGAATGGCTTTGAAATTCGAACCGAACGACCGAGTTCAGATAATGCAAATTGGGGGGCGTTGGGGAAATGACGACATTAAACAACCGCAACCAGAGACATTTTTGATTGACTCGAAAATAATAGAATATTTGTTTCATAATTGTTTTTATATAATCATCTTCTGGAAGAAGATGGATTTCTTTTTCTCGAATCTTGTGACGACGTGGCGTTTTCGTACGCCGCGTCGAATTTTCTTTTCCTGTTTGTTCCTCTGACTCGGGCGACATCTAGTCGTCCCGAAAAAAGCGGCGTGTCAGCGGGCGACATCTGTTCGACCCGTGACAGCATAGGAATGGCTTTGAAATTCGAACCGAACGACCGAGTTCAGATAATGCAAATTGGGGGGCGTTGGGGAAATGACGACATTAAACAACCGCAACCAGAGACATTTTTGATTGACTCGAAAATAAATCTACCGACTCTCGATCCAACATCAAAAAATTATTCTTGCATAATGAAGCTTTTTCTGCCCCAGTTCCACGCGTCCTTGTGGCGGAAATACCGTATTCTGAATCTTTTCTCGGTTGATTTGCGTGATGAATCTCAGCGAGTAAATTATATTTAAATATTTTTACAATTTCTTCCAATTAACGCTACTGTCCGTCAATGTCAGAATAAATTGAAAGTTTTTTTCTTCGCGCAATGTGGAGTCTGAGAATTAAGTCATCGAAATAACTTGAACAGATTTTCGAAAACTCTATGAGTAATGAACACTGTTTCATGAACACTGTTCCATTACTTGCTGCCTTGCAAAACTCTTTCGAGACACTCTCAACTAGGACAGTTTCCAAACAAGCTCCTTTAATCCTGACGAGAAAGCACGCGGTAGGATTAATTTTTTTGCATAAAAATCACATTCAAATGTGTATCTTACACGTACCAAAGTAATTGAAGCCATGAAATTTTAAATCATTTCAAAGAACTTAAATGCGACGCTTTCTTCAAAACAAAAGATGTGTAAAATAGTTCAGTAGATATGATTAATTTTTGAAAATTCTGTCCAATTCTGAAAATAAACTTGCATGTCATCCTGGAAATCTTCATTCTCGTCGTCAAATTTAAATTTATTCTCGCCAAATTATTCTCTGACTTCATCAAGAAGTTTGCCTACTTCCACTTTAGCCAATTTTTTCTTCGAGTAACAAATGGGTAATCCATCAAAATTTCCTTCAGACAATTTTCAATTTTTCTCACGATGCAGAATTTGAGACGAAGGCGAAAGTAAATGTGCCCGAAAAAAATAATTCCGCAACTACAGAAAAATTTCCCTTTCGGATGCGGGCAAATGATAAAGTAACAATGGTATTCTCTTTAAGTTTTCTTCCGAGTTTGACCTTTCAAATTCCAAAACCAGTGTCGAACGCGTAGAAACTCGAAACTGAAGCTATGTTCGTATCTGGATCGACAGTATCGTCGCCGACAGTGAAAGTAATACTGGTATACACATTTTTTTTTCGTCAACGTTCTACTAAATACTACGTCGAGGACAGCGCTCATCTTGTCTAGAAAAATATCTTCCCCCCGAGATTCACGAAATTCCGATCGAATACCTATCAATCGCTCATTAGAGAAAGTTACTCCTATTGAATAATTCTCTAGAGTTATTCTAATCTAAATGATCTTTCCTGCAATTCATTTATAAATTTTTTGGCACAAACATTTTCATCAAGAACAAAACTCCCGCTCAGCGATAATCGTGAAAATAATCGACAACGAGGAAATGATTCCAATCGCGAGTTGTTCCACGAGCGAAGACTCTCATCGTTCGTCTTTAAAATGAGCTCAGCTTTCTAAAAAAAAAAAGTGCTTTCGTTGAGATAAAACGTCTTAGAGTAAAAAACAAAAAAAAACATAATACAAGGGAATGAAATAACAATAAAAACGCCCTTTTCTTCCTCGAATAAAACGCATCATGCGGAACCATTACGAAACAGCGCGATGACCGAGAGCGGGTGAAATGAGTCGGGACGACTGTCGGTGTCAACCGCAAATTGAGTTGCTGATCAATAACTGCCCTTTCGACCACCACAAGAATTACGTCACTCATCCGACTTCCTTAATTACCCAGCTCGGAAGACACGGATTTATGGCCCATTAAGGATTTTACTGGTCACAGAGATTGCTCGTAACTTTCCAGCGAATGCGACGCTTTCGATTTCGTATCGAGCGACAGAATCTTCGGATTTTACGCGTGCAAATCGCGGATTCTTATCCATTCAACGAATTCCTGCTGTTCATATTAGGGGAGAAAAGGTGCATCATTTTGAAAGTTGATTCCAACTACCTTTTGCAAACAACCACTATTTTTTGCGAAAGTCAAAACTTTGATCACCACTCAGAATACGCTAGATACTGCTCAGTATAAGGAATAAAAACGGAAAACTTTATTCTTGCTTATCAGTTCAAATTCCTGAAGTGTCTATCACAGTGCAAACATTGTCTTTATCAGAACCTCGTTTCCTCCGTTCATTTTTTTTGCAAACATTTAGTAGCACCTGAATTGCTTGGGAACTAAAAAAAGAATGCAAATGTGGCGGAGAAACCTGACTTCCTCGCAGCAACGAAAAGGTGAACTTTCAACACTGCTTTCTCTGATTAAAAACTGCGTGGCAACAATCGAAATCAAAGGTCAGAAAACGGTTAAATATTACTCTGAAAACGAGAAAAAAATCATTATTCATCTAACAAGGGGATACAAAATCACATAACTCAGCATAGACCAAGAAAAATCACCAATGCATCTTTGGTACCATACGGGGTTTGTCCCAGTTGGACGCGACCTCTGATAGTTTTTTAGAGTAGGTGTGGTTAAAATTCAATAAATCATGACAAAACCCACAATGTTCCACGGTTCTGGGAATTTTTTCTGATTAAAAAAAAAATCTTTTTCAATTTACTGCATGGTGATGAGTGAAAACTGTCCAGTTACAGCCAGAGTTCTCCACCCATGTCAGAGGATGCTAAAATTTAGTAGATTAAAAAAATAATCTAAAAAACCACGTTTTCAAAAAGCAAAAAATAATCTTAAACGTGGTGCGCATCTATTTCATTTGTATTTCACTTCTTCCCAACAATCTCCATGCGCACCACATTTAAGATTATTTTTTGCTTTTTGAAAACATGGTTTTTTAGATTTTCTTTTCACAAAAGATTGCATTGTCATCAGTTTCTAAGCCATCCTGAAAGTTTCAGCTTGCTAGCTAGTCAGGAAGTGAGCAAAATTTGAGTTGCAAAATTTGATCTGGACAAACAAACAGACAAGAAAGCAAGTTAATAAAAACGTGTTAAAAACGTGTCAGAGTAGCTATAAAAAATTGATTATTTTGCCTTAACCATTATACAAAATGTGGAAAAGATACTGGGTAAAACCAGAACAAATTTCAATTTTTTCTAACTGGACTGACACATTTTTAGCAATTTGTGAAATGGATGGAGAACTCTGGATATAGCTGGAAAGTTTTCACCAATCACCATGCAGTAAATTGGAAAAGTTCTTTAAAAATCCGAAAAAAATCCTAGAACCTCGGAACATTTAATCATTGTCATGGTTTTTTTTTAATTACAACAAAATTTAAAAAATATCAGAGGTCGCGTCCAACTAGGTCAATAACCTTTGTATTGACGCGCATTACGCGGAAAATAATTTCGGCGCGCTTTATTGGATGTAAATTAATAAATAACGGGCTCCTTATTTTCGAATAAATACGAAAGGAGAACAATTCGAAAAGGGAAAATAAAGGTAATATCGAATGAATGTCTCAATGAACAAACGTTTTGAAGGATAGAAGGAAGAGTGCCGCCTTCGCTGAGTCGGCCCCAGCCGGTGACGGTGGCGTTCTCGCCGATGAGCAAGTCGTCGGAACCCGGCAGACAAATGGGCACCACGTGCGGCATCGGGTCCACGGGTTTCTCCAGCTTCACCAGGGCCAGGTCGTATTCGTAGGTGAAGAAGTTGTACTTGGGGTGCACCACCTTTTTGGTCACCGAGCGCTCCTGGAACGGATGCACCTCCAGCACGTTCGAGAAGTCGTATTCACCCACGCGGATCCGGATTTGACTCGGCAACAAACTGGAAAAAATTCGACAAGAAAAATAATATTGGATTCAAATCCAAAGAGAAGAACGTACTCTTCAATAAGTGTTCAGCACGACTGCATTATTCCACAGCAATTTTGAAAAGAAAAGAAAAATCGAAGAAATAAGAGCGATGAACACATGGACAGAGGCCTTCGATCAAATAATGATGCAGTATTTTTGTTGTCATGAAGTCAGATCATATTATTGTACTTTTCACTTTAAAGAAACTGAGTTACGGACTATGATATTCACCGACGTAATAATTTTGAAGCTCTTCTTATTTTAATATTCAACACAGCTTCCAAGATATTAACGTAGTTTTCGAGTCATCAGTTTGAGTTCGGGGTGGCATCTTTATTTGATTGATTGATGTCCAAGCTTTATTTGTTGTTCGTCAGTATTCACGAAGTTCACAAACATTTTCCATATCCCCTCCACACATCCATTTGACACGAACAGGTCCATGAAAAATAATTCAGCACGCAAGTTTATTGAAAGAAAATACATAACAAAATATACGAATGCATGGAGAATGAAAGTCCCATAATTTGTTTTCCAAAAATCAAAGCACAAGGCGATTAGCCAGATAATTTTGAACAATTTAGAAAGAATCTATGAGGAAAAATCGTAAAAATCAAACTTTTTATATTAATCGTCTAAAATGAAGGAGACCACATTTTTTTTATGAAGCTGATAAAATCCGGAGTTTTTCTTATAGATCAAAAAGCAATAGTATTTGTTCAATACAATATGATCCCACATTTTGAAAGAAAAATCAAGAAATGGTGAACAATTGAACATGAACAAAGTCTTTCAATCAATTGATATTCAGTTCCAGGGTATACTTTTCATATAATGGAAATATTTCCGGACAGAAATACGTAATCCATTAATATTGTCATGTACGAGCTGGAATCTAAAGCTCACAATTTTTACATGGAAAATTAAAGAATATACGGTATTAATTTTTATTTTATCTCTCATGCAATTTGGAGACTGGGCTGAAAATTGGTCACATCCTTACGTCGCCTTTTTTTATCTTCTCCATGGATTATGATCGAATATAATAAAAAAATGGGCTTCTAAAAATGAAATTTTTTGCATAACGCGCGAAGTTCCGAATAATTATCTGATGCAATAATATGTGCTTATCAAAAGTGTTCATTCTCATGAGGAATAATTATCGACTTATTTCAGATTTAAAGTTTTAAAAGGACATCCAATATGAAAAATAATTAAGACTTTTCCAAGAAAAACGAAGTATTTTCACGCAGAAAATTCAATCAACGGACTGGATTTCAACAGCTATACTAAACAACACAGAAAAAAAGGCAAACTCGATTAAAAATAAAAAAGGGAAACGAAATCAGCGACTAATGGGTGCAATTCGTATTTCCCATGAAAGTGTCTGCTAATGGGAATTTAACGGGAGCAAAAGTGGATCGAAACGCAGATAAGAGTGCGAACCAACCGACCAGATATATTGCACAGAAATAGCACGCCATTATTATTATTTTCTTTCTTCTGAAAACGGTCCCTTCATTTCCGACACCTTGCTTTCTATTTCCATCGATCGCTTCCTCCTCTCGTTTCCGCGCAAAGAAAAATAAAAAAGGTCAATTTTATGCACAACAATCGAGAGTTTTTTTTTTTCCCTGCGATAAATCTCGAATTACTTTTTTCCAGAGCAAATCCGGCTTCGCTTTCCGACGCGGAACAACTCAATTTAAAAGCTTTAGAAATTTAAATGAAAACAACAGCGCTGAGCACTTGGTACGAAATTCTTTTCCCGCGGATTAAATTACAATAACAAGCAACGTTTTCAAGAGGGAAGCGGAACTTTCAAAAAAAATGCAGTTCCCCAGAGTGCGAAGAGAAAAACGCTTGCTTAAAAAGTTCCGGTGTTCTGTTTAGAGGAAAAACAACAAAAAAAGTTGTAAACTGCAATTAAGAGAAAGTTGTTCGTAGATAAATCAACTCTCTTTTGTGCCAAGACCAGTTATACTTCATGTTATACGCGCAACGCTGGTTAATTGGGTGCAATTCGCAGCACGCTTTCCCTCACAAATCCCCCGACAGGAAGTACTCACTGAATATAAAATACATGCACATTTTTATGCTTTATTCCTTTCCTACTCGTTTTGTGCCTTGAAGCAGTGAGCAGAACGGAATGTAAATGAAGACCTCCGATCGACTCACTCTTGTTCTGATCATGTAGAACATTTTTCTTTCTGCGCGCATGGCTTTTGATTCCGGGCGAAAATCTACGTTTTGCGACGAAAATCACGGTTTGACGCATAGAAAATTGAAACTGTCCAGAGAAAATATAGTTCAGAAAATGGAGCTTTTCTTTCTTGGTTGGTAAAAAAAAATAATCAAGCCTACTCTAAGTTCGAGGAAACGCAAAATAAGTGAAGATATTCCGCCATTACAATCTCAAGATACGTCGGGTACGCTACAAAAAACCACGCTTTCCTTTTTTTCAATTTAATGAACAGGAAATTATGCAATAATATTCCTATATCTTCGAAGAAAGAGAAATGTGAAGGTATTGCGAATTCTTGGAAATTCCACAATCGGGCTGCATTATTCTTACAATCAAAAAATAAATTTGAATGAATCTGTTCATGAAAGCGATCTTGTTCAGTAGGTAGGTAGACAAAGAAAAGTAAAAAAAAAACAAGGTATTTGTAACGTTAACAGACAAAAATTGGCTTTAAAAAATAATTTTGGCTTACCTTTTACTTCAGACACGTCGGTTTAGGGTATAAAATGACGAATACAATTGACAAAGCATCTCCAAAACCGAAAACCCTACTTCCATCTCATCTTCACGTAATTCAAAGCTCATAAGAAATAAAATTAATCCAATTCACTCTTTTCTGTTCTTCGGGAAACAGAAAGTAAATGGAAAATAAAAATTGCTAACAAAGCAAAAATCATATTCAAAAAATTGCAAAAATTCAGAATTCTGCTCCAAAACTGTCAAACACTGGATTTTTCATCATTCTGACTGATTTTAACATGCTAATGTCCCCCTCATTGTGAGTAAGCATCGGGTTATCGGGTTGAAAAATGAGTTCGTGAATTCTGAATTTTGTAATGAAAAATGGTTCGAACTTTGCGGAGTTGCATAAACCAAATTCCCAGGCGAGCTGAGTTTCAATTTCCAAATATATTTCCATCTCATTTAGTAAAATCAACAACGCAGATTGCAAGTGTGATAGTTTCCAGAAATAATTATAGTAGATTAAAAAATTAATCTAAAAAACCACGTTTTTCAAGCAAGACTAAAAAGCACAAACAAATTTAGTAGATTGAAAAATTA